TCCAGGCCAGATTAATAATTGTCAGTATTACATCTTTGCAGAGATATGGAGTAATAACTGCATGTCAGTATACTAAGAATTGTAAAAGTTATCAGAATACAAAAAATGCATTGCCATTCTTTTACTTTATATAGATTGTTGAAAATCCTGCATTAAATTGAGGCTGTGTACTTAAATTTCATGTCTTCTAAAATGATGATTCTTTTTTTCATAATTTGAACTTCTGGCTTATAGAGGTATTTTCACCTGTTCTTAAAATAACGTCAACAAGATGAGGGTACGCTTGATTTGGTCTTAGCACAGAGGTGGTATTTCAGTGGGACGCCCTTAGCATTGAAAGATGGCAAACCGCTTCTGTATGGTTGCTAAGAAAATCGTAGAGGTGTCCATGTAGTTATCCAGAGCCAAACTTTATTTAAGGGTATATTTTCCTTTTTATATCTACAGAGAGTGAGGGATGTATATAATCAAAATCTTTGGATATTCAAGATTCAGATAAAGCTATGTTAACAAGTGTGATCAAGAAGTAACTGTTTAAAATGAAACACGCACAACTCCATTGTCCCAAAGGTGCATTTTTCAGGAGGCAACTGGACTTTCTTGTTTTTTCTTTTGAAGACGTTTCTCTTCTAATCCAAGAAGCTTCTTCAGCTCTGACAGGATAGTGGGGAATGGAAGGATTTATATTCCTTGCGGACAGCTGGTAATCTGCATCCTTTTAGTGGGTCGTTGAAGACAAAAGAAAAAACGAAGTCCAGTTGCCTCCTGAAAAAAAAACATGACTGAGAATCTCTACAGACATAACTCCATTGTTTCATTTTTTTCCCCTCTAGGTCCAAAAGGAAAAGAGAAACTGTTGCAGCTGATTGCTACCCTTCTAGTGCTCCAGGCTATATATTTCAAACAACTGGAAGGTCTTATCTTTAAATCTCTAATGAAATTGAAAGACTCTCCTCCATCATGGTATACTTGAGAACAAAACACAAAATAACATTCAGGCTGTTTTAGAAATATGAGTGATACCATTCATTTGTAGCTCCTGTAAGAAAAAATTATCAATTCAAAAGCAATATAAAAATGACCACTAAATTCATAATCTCCCCTAAATTTAAAAACTGAGGTATTTTAAGAAATCCCTCCTTTGGCACCAAGTTCTCTGCTCCACTACATTATTATTATATAAAGAGTAGGAAGCTGGCAGTGTACAGATGAAAGGCCTAATCTGCGGTGGCATTTTTCTGTCTGAGAAAATCTCACAACTCCTTTGATGGCCATTGGGCATTTTAAGAAATCAACAGTTGGTTGCTGCAGCCTAAAGCTTTGTTTGCAAGTGTGTTTACCTTTCAAGAAAAAGACAAAGATCAGCTGGGGTAGTAGATGGCATTCATGTGGGCCAGGGGTGGGTTCTACTTACCTTTACTACCAGTTCACAGTGGAGCTGCACAAGCGAGCAGATGCGCTCTTCGCATGCGCAGAAGCGTTTTGATGACGTCGGGGTCAGTGGGTGGAGCCTCCCACCGGTTTTACTACCGGTTCTATAGAACCGGTGCAAACCGGGGGCAACCCACCACTGATGTGGACCAGAAGAAAGTGGCATGAAGCAACTGTTATCAGTTACCTTTCTGGTAATGTTATGTGATTGATTATGATCAGTGTGGCTGCTAGTCTGTGAACAGATACTCCTGCATAACCTGTTCCGCGCCCCCAAATAACAGCCAATTCTTAAAATCCAAGAGTGCCTATTAGCCTGCAAAATTTAGCTATTCCAATACGAGCTGATAGGTAGAAAGTGGTTTTTCAGATAAACTAGTTCTAAATCAATCAATCCTTCAAATGTTAAAAGCATTGAAATTGGATCCTAAAATGTTCTGTATCCACTATGCTGGGCATTTCTATACTTTGATTTAAATGTGAATCCTGTTTGGAGACATACAAGCCTCAGAATAATTTATAATACAATCTGCACATCATGCTTTTCATTACAGGTGGTCTTCGACTTATCAACCATTCATTTAGTGACTAAATTTACAATGGCACACAAAAAAGGTGACTTATGACCATTTTTCACATTTACAACCATTGCAGCATCCCCGAGGTCACGTGATCAAAATTCGGCCGCTTGGCAACTGGCATGTATTTATGACAGTTGCAATGCCCCAGAGTCATATGATCACCTTTTGCAACCTTCTGACAAGCAAAGTCAATAAGGAAGCCAAATTAATTTAACAACCATGTTATTTAACTTAACAACTGTGGTTGTTAAGAAAGGTGGTAAGATGGGGCAAAAATTCACTTGACAACTGGCTTGCTTAGCAATGGACATTTAGGGCTCAATTGTGGTCATAAGTCGAGGACTACCTGTATTCTAGATTGGAGTAATTGAATAAATATACAGTAGTCCGTTTTGCTGTTGCTGTTTTGCAATGACTGTTCTTACCTATTTTTCTTTCTTTCACCACTGTTTACAGGGCACTTAATCCAGTAAGGAAAGCAATTGAGTGGGCAAACAAAACTAACCGTGAATTTCCAGGTATTTGCCAGAGTCTTCAGCTTGGAAAAGACTGGGATGATGCCACTAAAAAGCTCCTGGGTATTTAAGGAATGAACACAACATACTTCATGCTTCTCCTTCTCTTAATAATTGAACACTACTAAGTTTGTTCTTCTCTTATTGATGAACATGACTCATAATAAAAGCACACTATCATTGATTTCCTTATTTAAGATTATAATTATGCTGATATTCAACTTGGTACTTTTTGTTATCTTTATATATTTCATTATATGTCCAGGGTGTAATCAAGAATATTATTTTAACATCAGTCACTGATTTTATAGGCACATGCTCTACACGTTGCCCTGTCAAGCACAGCTTCTTTCAGTTGTTGGATGTTTATCTTTGACTAAGATAAAGACTAAGAGCCACGGTAGCGCAATGATTAGAGTGCAGTACTGCAGGCTACTTCTGCTCATCACTGGCTGCCAGAAATTTGGCAGATCGAATCTCACCAGGCTCAAGGTTGACTCAGCCTTCTATCCTTCCAAGGTGGGTAAAATGAGGACCCAGATTTTTGGGGGCAATATGCTGACTCCGTAAACCGCTTAGAGAGGGCTGTAAAGCACTGTGAAGCGGTATATAAGTCTAAGTGCTATTGCTTTGTATCATTTCTTATGTTAGCAAGCCAACATGTTCTTTGCTTGCCCCTTCTTATTTCATTAACCATTCCTAGCATCATTGACTTTTCCAATGAATTTCATGCATGACATGGCCAAAGTAAATCAGACATCATCTTGTGATTTTGGCTTCTAATGATATGTCTGGTTTTATACGAGCAGTCAAGAATATACTTGTATAAATAATATGCATGTATTCTAGAAACACTATCTAAAGAACACTATTTTTCTTCTTCCTCTCACCCTCTAAATAAATTATTTTGTTTAGTTTTCAGAAATACTGCTTGCTTTGTTTAAAAAGTTTGGAAATTTTGATTTCTATTAAGGACAAGTGATTTCATAAAAATCAAGTGATTGATATAATTGAAAAAGAAATTATTGAAGACTTGCCCATTCTTATGTTCATTTATATTTAAGGGACGACTGAAGCATAGAAAAGCAACAAAATGCAAATGAGAAAAATATCCAGTAAGGGAACTTAAAACTAATTTTCAGCAGTCTAAATTTTAGAAAAAGTAATTATTTGGCAAATTTATCTAGTCACTCAACTCACGTCACCTTGGCTAATATACTAAGTTTAAAAAAAAACCCAAAACAATACAACAAAATAACCAAAAACATAATCATTTAAAACATTTAAAATAATCTGTGACAGAGTACACTCAAATTTCCCAGCAATGCAACCACTTGGCAGGCTGTACCCACATGACAGGATCTGCACCCAGATGGCAAAACCATGTTTTCAGAGTCAGGAGATAAAATTCCAAAGGAGGAGCAAAAGATCTCCTCCTGGGCCCTTGTGAACTGAATCTGCAATGTGCCCTTCCTAGCAGACCTGATGAGACAGGTAAATTAGATTGGGGGGGGGGGGCGGAATCCCTCAAATTATTTGGCCCCATGACATGTGAATTTGGAATTCAAAACATATTTTTTACAAGCAATACAATATATTATTTTAGAGCGGGGTTGGCCAATTTCCCTGATCAGAAGGTGGCATTCTACTCCAGCTTGCAGCTAAATTCAACTTTTTGAGAGCACACTTCTTCCTCATTCAGATGCAGATAGACTTCAGTACAGGTAGTCCTCAATTTACGACCACAATTGAGCCCAAAATTTCTGTTGTTAAATGAGACATTTCTGAAGTTGCCCCATTTTACCAGCTTTTTTGCAGTTGATTAGTTAGCAACCCGGTTTTAAGTGAATCTGGCTTCCCTATTGACTGCTTATCTTTTTGGTGGCAAAAAGTGATTAGGACACTGCAACCGTCATAAATATGAAGCAGTTGCCAAGCTTCTGAATTTTGATCACATGATCATGGGGATGGCACAAAGGTGGTAACTCTAGAAAACGGTCCTAAGTCACTTTTTTTAGTGCCTTTAAACCTTGAACAGTCACTAAACGAACTGTTGCAAGTCAAGGACTACCTGTATAAGTGGGAAATTCCCCTGGGGAAAAAAGTGTGCCGTAAAGCCCTCGGCAACCGAAAATTCAAGGCATGCCGTTCTTGTGTGTTGCAGCAGATCTGGAAAAATCCAGACTCGCTACTCGGATAGAAAATCACAGGCTATAAACTAGATCGGGATTTAAAAAAAAAAAAAACTGCCGAAAGAGCCCACGGGCACTTCATGCAAAATTCCAAGGTGGCTTGCCCCGCCTCTTTTCCCGTCACGTTTTCTGATTGGCTGCTCTCCGCCCTTAGGTTGCGACGCTCGTTTCCGACCCTTTGCTCTGATTGGCGGCCGTCCCGCTTACCTCAGCGGCATCGCGGGGAGGTGATTTGTAGAGAAGGCCAAGCGCCGCTCTCTCAGCAACCTATCGGGGCCTTCGGCTGCCTCCACGCGCGGGGAGGGGAAGGGAGATGTTGTCATTAAAGATTCGCCCCCAACATGGCGGCGGCCGTGAGCGGGGCTAAAGAACAAGAAGGGGTGATGGCGGCGAAACCGCCGGCGGACGGCCGGGCGGGAGAAAGCGGAATGGATTCGGGGACGGCGACCGTGACAGCGGGTGCCGGTGGAGGAACCGGCGGCGGCGAGAGCGAGGACGAGGAGGAGAGCAACGTCTACGAGGTGGAGAAGATCTTGGATATGAAAACGGAAGATGTAAGTCCGGTGTGAGGGGCGGGTTTTGTAAAGGCAGAGCGGAGTTCATGGCTGCAGGATATATATATATATATTTCCCCTATATATATATATATATATATATATATAGACAGCCAAGAAAGCAAATTAACGAATCACAGAACAAGTCAACCAGAATTCTCATCTGAGACACAAAATGACTCGGCTCAAATTATTTTTTATGCAAAGACCCATAAGAGGGAGAGGCGAAGAGAGAGGGACAAGAAGGCTCCGGGGCGAGCCGGGAGAGAAAGAGAGAGAATACCATGAGGAAAGAAAAAGGCTTTCCTGTCGTTTCCCGCCTCGGTTTCTCTCTCTCTCTCTCTCTCTCTCTCTCTCTCTCTCTCTCTCTCTCTTTCTGTAGCTAATACAATAATGAAGGAAACGCGGGAACTTCTTGCAGCTGACTTGGCTTTCTAATTCTAAATTCGGGAGACGGCTTTCTCTCCCAAAAAGAGAGGAAAGTTGCAAAAAAAAAAAAGAAGAGGAAAGTCGAAGTGTTAATACCACTTTATAATGCCTTGGTAAGGCCACGCTTGGAACATTGCATTCAGTTTTGGTCGCCCCGATGTAAAAAGCATGTGGAGACTCTAGAAAGAGTGCAGAGAAGAGCAACAAAGATGATTAGGGGACTGGAGGCAAAAATATATGAAGAACGGTTGCAGGAACTGGGTATGTCTAGTTTAATGAAAAGAAGGACTAGGGGAGACATGATAGCTGTGTTCCAATATCTCAGGGGTTGCCACAAAGAAGAGGGAGTCAAGCTGTTCTCCAAAGCACCTGAGGGCAGGACAAGAAGCAAAGGGTGGAAACTAATCAAGGAGAGAAGCAACCTAGAACTAAGGAGAATTTTCCTGACAATTAGAACAATTAAATCAGTGGAACAACTTGCCTCCAGAAGTTGTGAAGGCTCCAACACTGGAAGTTTTTAAGATGATGTTGGATAACCATCTGTCTGAAGTGGTGTAGGATTTCCTGCCTAAGCAGGGGGTTGGACTAGAAGACCTCCAAGGTCCCTTCCAACTCTGTTATTCTATTCTATTCTATTCTATTCTATTCTATTCTATTCTATTCTATTCTATTCTATTCTATTCTATAACATACAAAGAACGGTTGCAGGAATTGGGTATGGCTAGTCTAGAGAAAAGGACTGGGGGGGACATGATAGCCATATTCCAGTAATTGAGAGGGGGTCCACCTATTTTCTAAAGCACCAGAAGGCAGGCAAGAAATAATGGATGGAAACTAATCAAAGAGAGATGCAACCTGGAACTAAGGAGAAAGTTCCTAATAGTGAGGACAATTAACCAGTGGAACAGCTTGCCTTCAGAAGTTGTGGAGGTTTCTTTCACTGGAGGTTTTTAAGAAGAGACTGGACAGTCACTTGTCTGAAATGGTATTCGTGATGGCAAACCTATGGCATGCCAGAGGTGGCATGCAGAGCCCTCTCTGTGGGCACGTGCGCTGCCGGCCAGCTGGTCTTCGCGCATGTGTGCACCAGAACCCGGAAGAGACCAGCTGACTGGTGCATATGCACATGACAGAACCTGGAAAAGCAGCTGGCCGCCGTGCATATGCGCACCAGCCAGCTGCTCTGTTATAGCGCTCTGGTGCGTGCACGCATATATCAGCGCTCGGTGACAAAAAGGTTAACAATCACTGGTATAGAATCTCCTGCTTGAGCAGAGGGTTGGACTAGAAGACCTCCAAGGTCCCTTCCAGCCCTATTCTGATTGATTGATTGATTGATTGATTGATTGATTGACTGAGTGATTGATTGTATTTTCCATAGAAACCAAGGAACGGGGCCAGTTCAGTTAGTCTGCCTTCAGAGAGAATTGTCTAGGTTGAACTGAAATGGACAAGTGGCCTGTCTTGTTCCCTCAGCATTAGCCACTTTTGCCTAGTGTCTCAGACTGAAGGCTTTGCAGAAGTTGGGCTTTATGGAGATCCCAGGAAGTTGGGCTGAGACCTGGACTGAAGAGCTCTTCACCTGACCTGTATTATTGTGACAGTTATGTTTGCCAAACTATAGTACAGGGAGTCTTCAACTTAACGACCACAAGTGAGCCCAAAATTTATGTTGCTAAGTGAGAAATTCGTTAAGGGAGTTTTGCCCCATTTTATGACTTTTCTTGCCACATTTGTTAAGTGAATGACTGTAGTTCTTAAATTAGTAACCTGGTTGTTAAGTGAATCTTGTTTCCCCATTGACTTTGCTTGTCAAAAGGTCACAAAAGGGGATCACGTGACTCCGGGACTGCAGCTAAATTTTGACACTCTGAACAGTCCATCATAAATGTGAGTCAGTTGTCAAGCATCCAGATTTTGATCATGTGACCATGGCGATGCTGCCATGGTCACAAGTGTGTAAAATGGTAATAAGTCACTTTTTTCAGGGCTGTTTTAATTTTGAACAGTCACTAAATGAACCAAGGTAAGTTGAGGACTACCTGTATAATAGAGGAAGTCCTCATCTGCCAACTGTATGTTCAGCGACTATTGTTACAAGAGCACTGAATAATTGGGTTTAGAACTAGTCCTCAAACTTGTAGCATCTACATGGTCATGTGATCATAACTGATATGCTTCAGAAGTGACATGCACTTTCAAAGGTCGTAACATCCCATGGTCACATGATTATTATTTTCAACTTTCCCTGCCAGCTTTTCACAAGCAAAGTCAGTAGAGAAGCCAGCAGGACATCACAAGTCAGGGTCACGTAATGTCTTCCTTAATGACTTATTGTAATTTGCTTAACAACCATAGTAGAGCTGACATAAGCCCAGTGTGGTCATGTGGTGTTTTACTGTATGGCTGTGTTGCCTAGCACAGAGTAAGTGAGGAGTCCTATATAGCATTTTTTTTTTTTTAGGAATTAAATTGATGTACAACTTTCCCGCTCTCTGGGCTACTGTAATAATAACAAAATACTGTTTTTCTGATAGGAAACTAATGAGTTGAAAATAGAACATTTCCTCACATAACTCTTGTTACTGATAAAATAATTTCAGCTATATGGTTGTGGCAATGGGGCAGCTTGTTTAAAATTTGAAGAAATTGCTCCAATCTTTCTGGCAGTTCTGATTGTTCTGAGCATGATCAAAGTTTGAAACAGTTCTTTTTCTGATTCAAATCAGAAATTGCCAAAACATATTCACAACTTTTCTTCAACAATTTTCCATAATAATGGAATAAATATGTTTTAACTTGAGCCATTCTGAATTCAAAACTTTCACCAAAACTGTACCACTCTATAGTATGGAATATTTTTCTGTTGTTAAATATTTTGTTTGCTATTCACTTTTTAACCATTTCCCTCTCCATTGCCAGGGTTAATTAATTAAAATATTTATCTGGACATCCACCTTAAAATACAATTTGGGCAAGTTTCAACAACAATAAAATTCAGAACTATAAAAATCATAAAACCAAATCAAAACCCAGTTCTTTAGTCATTCTCTTGGGATGCCTCACAATCAACTCCAAACATCCTTACTTTATCCTATCATTGGAGTAAAAAGCCAGAACTTGATGGCCATCCAAAAGTCTAAAGGGGTGGGGGACTGCTGGATCATTGAGGGAAGGATGTTTCATAAGATAGGGGCAGCCATGGAAAAAGGCAGGCTTCCAAGATCCAACTTAAATGGCAAAATTTCAGGGAAGGGACTTGAATAAAGCCATGTGTTCATTGCGACCTTCTACTAATTTATTATTCTTTATTCTTCTCAATGGGATGTCATGGTTATTATGCACATATATAACTATTTTTCTTCTGTCAGGGAGAAGTGAAATACAAAGTACGGTGGAAAGGCTATGCACCAGATGATGATACATGGGAACCTGAGGAACATTTAAAAGACTGTAAAGAAGTTCTTCTTGAGTTTCGAAGGAAAATGCTGGATAATAAATCTAAGCCTGTTAAAAAAGAAATACAGGTATGTTTGGTTTCGGACCATTCACTCCATTTCTTTCAACCTATTTTTACTAATCACGGATCCCAGACTTTGCAAAGTTTCATCACCATCACCACCAACCCGTCATCCTTGAAGCTCTTCTTTCCCTATTGTGTTGTGTTGTTGTTGTTTTCTGAAGTATATCTCATACCGGCTGGATAATCCTCATTTACAAATCACTTGTTCAGTAACCGTTCACAGTCATGATGGTGCTGAAGGAGTGGTATTTAGAACCAGTCGTTGAAGTTGTAGCCATCCCAGGGAATGACCCAGGTAGTTGGCAACTGGCTTGCATTTAGATGGTTGCAGCATCCCATAGTTACGGGATCACTGTTTGTAATCTTCTCTGCTATCTTCCACAAGCAAAGTCAGTATTCTGTATTTACGCCATGTGCCCATTGCCTTACTGCATTTGCACTCTATTTGCTGCACTACTACTACTACTGCCCCACTATGCTGTGCATCCCCTGGCCTTGCTGCATTCCCTCCACGTTGCAGTTCCCCCCCCATCTCCACTTGGTTGAACTTCCTTGCCTGCTACCTGCTTGTGAGCTGCCTAAGGAAAAAAACTTGTCATAACCAAGACTTGTGATTTCCTGCGAGCTTCCTCATTGATTTCGCTTGGTAACTGGCAGGAAATCACAAGTTCCAGGCATATGAGGTCCTTGTATAACAACCTACAATTCTCGCTTAATGATGGAAATTGGGACTGCCAGGATTGGCATCATTAAATTTTGCACTTATATGACATTGTGCTTTATAATCACATTGCTTAGCAACAAGACTGTGTTATTTCTCCATGTCATATAATATATGTGGGTATATGCATAATTTTGTATTTATTTATTTGTTTTGTCATGTTTAGTGTATATAGGAGGTGGTGACCCTTTGAGAGCTGTATGCAACGAAATTTAATTTTAATGTATGCCAATTCGTGTATATTCAAAGTGACAAAGTTATTCTAAATCTAACTGAAATTCTGCACCTAATTACCATTGTTAAGCAAGGACTTGTATGTCAGCTTTGATCTTAAAGCATTTTAAAAATATATTTTCTTTTAAAAACTGGCATTACCAGTTTACAATGTTTACGAAAAAGGCTGTCTTAAAATGATGAATTTGAATTTGTATTCTGTATGATATTGGTGTAAAAATATTTCTATTGGAACCAAAATTTTACAAAATTAAATTGGTAAAAATGATTTTCATTAATGCAAAAATTACTCAGGCTACCTTAAATTCTAGACATTAATCTGTTAAATTATATTGGTCTCATTGGGATTCAGACAACATTTCAGACATAATTTCCTTGGACATGTGAAAAAGGAAAATCAAGTCATCTTGATTTATTTTGTCCTTCATTTAATCTACAGATTTTCTTCTGTGTACTGAAGAAAATCCAATCATTATAAAGAGGATTGGATTGGATTTATTCATTTAAAACAACACACTAAAAGGCAAATTAATAGAAATAAAACAGAAAACAATATCCTAATCAAGGAACTACTAAGGAAAAAAACCCACACTGCCACAACACTGGCAGGGTTTGAATTGTGTTGTACATAAAAAGAGAGCAAATCTCATACTCACTAGCAAGGATGATATCACCTAATCAGGTAGTAAACATATACAAGCCAGCAACCTAACTCAGAGAGCATCAAGGACTCCATAATTGAAATCTTATCAGCTTACTACATATTCTAGCAATGTTATATCAATTTTATACTTTGGCTGCTTTGGTTTTCAGACCTAGTTTAAAATGCTGATGTTGATTTTGAACTGTCTTTATTGTTTGGAATCAAACTGCTTAAGGGGCAGCCTATATATTTAAATGCCTGCCTACTCACACACTGAAAGGGCTATAGAGACCCTGGTTGATGCTAGATAAAATAACAGGCAGAGCTTTTTGCTGGTGTCCCCTATGTGCTATTTTCCTTTAGAAAGGTATAATGCAGGGGTGTCAAACTCAAGGCCTGCAGGTCAGATCTGTCCCGCGGGGCCCTTAGACCTGGCCCGCGGGGCTGCCCTGGAACCAGCAAAGGACTGGACCGCAGTGCCTCTGCCAGCGAATACAGAGCTTGGGAGGGCTGCCCCCCTCCCCCCCAGTCCATTTTTGGCTGTGACAGCCTCCTGGAACCCTCTGCCAGTGAAAGCGGGGCTCGGGAGGGCCGCTTCCATTTTCTCTGGCAGAGCACTTGGGCCACCACAGGCATGCCTGACATGAGTGACGTCGAGCTGGCCCCGCCCAACCTGGCCACACACACCCTCCCCCCAAGGTCAAACACAACCCTGATGCGGCCCTCAATGAAATTGAGTTTGACACCCCTGGTATAATGCATTCCAAACTGCTTCTAATTAAGAAAATAACTTTGTGCCTATTTTTAATACGCTGCAATTGTGGACTTGAAATGATTTAATTGCTCTTTTTTCTTATACTTTTGATTTTTAATATTGGTAATTTTAAATGTGATATTTATGTTGTTGTGCAAAAATATTAGTGTTGCAGTCCAAAAAGTCTAATATCTACAGGTGGATGTAGTTTGGACTTTTCACTTGAGTTAATTGAATGATAACTTCCCTCATTTATAAAATGAAGGAAGCCTCCAAAAATGTGTATACGATTGGTCAAAAGAAAAAAGTTTTTAAATAAAATCTTGGAGAAAATAGATAATTTGATCTCAGATCCTTGATTTTATCTTTCTCTATATAAAGATCAAATTTGAAACCATTTTTGAATACACTACTGTTACTGTAAGATCCTTTGCTATCCTGTCCTATCCAATCCTATTCTTTATTCTATATTCAATGTTTTTAAGTGTCCTTTCTTTTTCTCCCTTTTGTAGAAAATGCCTTTAAATGATGATCTTTTTGAAGCAGATTCTGAAGCAGATAGCGATTGGCAAAGTGATACAAAAGGGGACCGATCACCAAAGAAGAAAAAGAAAAAATCTAAAGACAAAGAAGATAAAAACCAAGATGAAATACACAAGAAAAAACATAAACTGGGCAAAGTTAAAGAAAAACCATTTCTAGAATGTGAAAATTCTTCTGACAGTCTGGCTTCGGATTCAAAACCAAAGAAAAGGACTTCGGAGTCAAAGGAAGAGGTTAAAGATTCCAAAAAACAAAGGCGAGAGGATATAAAAGATAACAGTAAAAAAAAAGAATGGAAAGATGGAAAGAAAAAAATGAAAGAGGAGAGCAAAGAAAATAAGCATATGCAAAAGGGGAGACACAGTATTAATCATTTAGACGGCGAATCTAGCATGCAAGATGATTCTTTTTCTCAAGCTGCAGATTTCGAAAGTGAAGATTCAGACTCTGATAGCAGTGAGGGAAAACGTAAGACGCCTTCTGGCAAACACTGGGTAGAAGAGTTTTCAGTTCACCAGCCTAGTAGTACTTCAAGCACAGATGACAGTTCTGAAATAAGGGTTAAAAAGAAGAAAAAGAAACGCAAAAAGTCTGCGGAGTTAGACGAAAACAGAAAAATAGATAAACATTTGGAGAAGAAGAGCACCCAGAAAAAGCAGAAGACTCCAGAGACAACAAAAGCTGCTCCTGAGCTCGAAAATAAGAGGCCATTTATATCTGCTCCAACGCAGAAGCCTTTGAAATCGTCGGTTGATGAACGAGGATGCAGGCCCAATGATACAGGCGCAGAGGGGAGCAGTAACACGAAATGGAAAAGCAAAGAGGCAAAACCAGTCCAATCTTACGGTGGGAATGTGCTTCAAAAGGCAACCACTCCTGAAAGCAAAGCAAAGAATATAAATTGGAGAAGTGATGAGGAGAAAATAAAGGAAAAGCCTTCTCAGCATTCTCTAGGGCAGAATCTTTTTGAAAAATTTATCATGGACATGGAATGCAGTAAAGGAGGGAGCATGGTTGCCAAGAAAAATCTCCCCAAAATTGAGCTGAATGTTGAAGAAATCCCAAAGGAAAGAAGCATTTTACCTAAGGTAATCAGTATTGGATGACACAGAATTGGGTGACACAGAATAGGATTTATTTACCAGAGCTTGTCCCCCCCCCCAAAAAAATCTTCATTTAATCATGTGTACCAGCAGCTTCATTTTTTCTTTTCTTTTCTAGGCATTTCCATTCATCTTTTTTCCCAACTTTTAGTGTTTTTAAGAGTCAAAATAAATCATTTTGAGGCAGTTTGAATTAAAATAGCACCTAAATTTCCTATCTGTTCTGTGTATGCTGCCATATTATACTATTTCCACTCCCCAGATTATGTAAATAATCTCAAAGCAATTTGATTAATGCAAGATAATCAGACTTGCTGTGTAAGACTTGGTTGAAATGATTCTGCTATTCTTACTCGAGTAAAGTGTTATCTAAGGGCTAAATCTGCATTAACCTACTATTTTATCCTTTATGCGTAAAGGGGTTCAGTTACCAGCTTGTGTGATTTACTTGTGAGTAAGTTAACATTTTTTATGAAATCCATTGATTATATACTACTAGAACTCTCCTGTCTGTTTGTAACCATCAGTTGGGTGAAATTGGAAGACATAGGGCAGCAATTACTGAACCAAGGTAACTTAAATGGGCTATTTTAATAATAAGCTGTGACCCTTGACCCCCATGAATATGAAATTTGGGGGAGTTGTAGTGCTTCAGCAACCCCACAGTCATGTGAACCTCATTTTCAACAGTCCCTGACAAGCTGCTCAGAAGTTACTGGGGAAACTGGTAAGAACTTGAAAGTGGACTTCGGTTGCTGAGCCTTCCTACCCCCTTCCCATTAGCAAAGTCTTTGCTTGTGGGGAGAAAATCAATGGGGAAGCTGACAGGGAAGATTGCAAGTTGCTTGGGTAAGCCTACCAACCTGCGTAGCCTCCCTCAGTTCTTATTCATTCATGCCAGCCACTTATGCACCCATTCTCTCCCTCCACCCCCCAGTAGCAGCCATGGAGGGGGAGGGAGAGTGGGAGGAAAAAGGAAGGAAATGAAGAAGCTGATTTGGAAGTTGCTCCTGCTCCCACTGTTTCTTTGGGGGGGGGGGGTTGCCCACCTGTGGTCATTCTGTTTAGATAAGGAAATATCTCTGAAATGATGACCCATTGGGTCACAGGTTGTCTGGTTTGTTATAGAACTGAAAGTACTTTAGACAAAATCCAGTGAAATATGTATGTGCCCAAAGTATCCTGGACTTCACATTCATTTTAGTGTGATTTATATTGCCCTTATGTCGATGCATTTATAGCTTTGCTCTGTAACTGGCTAACTATTAGTTTCACTATGTTTTGCTTTGCTTTAATTAATGCCAAGTCTTAATACTTTTGTAATAAATTGAACAGAAGAACAAGTTTATATATTAAGTTGTGTTAGCTTTTGTTGCCATCTACATCCAGAACACTCTTGTTTATGTTTATTTTTCACTTCTAGGAAAAGGAAACCAAAAAAAGTGAAATAAAAGAAAAACTCCAGAAGAAATTAGACTCTGAAAAGGAAGAAAAAAACAGAAAAGAGCAAAGGCCGTCTAAAAGTAAGGTTGAAATAATAAATTATAAAACAATTTTTGGGAATGCCAGTGTAAACTTGCTTCAGTCTTTATGGCACAATATGTACCATTGTTGAAAACCTAATGGTGTCAATGTTCCAGAACCCCCCCCCCCCCCACCCCCAAGTAAAACTCTGAAGCAAGCATTTTTCAAAATTCTATTTATTAGAATAGGTAAACTGGCACATCTGGGAAAACCCAAATCTGAGAGGTCTGGGTTTTCCCTCAGTAAATCAAAACCCCCAAAACCATCACCTCACTCGTCAGACGATCACATGCTCCAATGACCAGCCGTCCCATCTCGAGACATCACTCCGACCACTCCTTCTCCAGAGGCAGGATCAGCCTGACCTTGACCAACAGGAAGAATGCTATTATGTCTACTAACAACCCCTCTACTAAATCCCCTCTTCTTCTTTCCCACACATGAGAAGGTGGCAGCATGGAAACTTCCGGCCTAATATGGCTTCCAAAGATGACAGATTATTTTTTTTGTCATGATTACCATTAGCCATATTTGGCATTAATGTTTGATTCTCATGGGTTGAATTCAAATGTAGGTGAATACAGGGGAGCAAGCGACTGCTCTTATGGGGTATTACATTACAAATGCTTCACAACATGGTTCAGAAGACCATGTTGAATGAAAAAGATTCTGTGAATGTTACTGATAGAAAAGAAGTACCGTATTTTTCAGAGTATAAAACGCACCTTTTTCCCCCCTAAAAGGGGGTGAAAATTTAGATGTGTCTTATACACCGAATGTAGCCCCGCCCACCCACTGGCCCCTACTCTTTGGTCTCTGCCTTGCAGCAGTTACCTCCTTGCAAGCAAACTGCAAGAAAAAACAGCTCCTTTCAGCTTCAGCACAGCCTAATTAGCGCAAGTTGATTGGATTGGCCTCCCGACTCTCAGCTGATTTGCTCTCAGCTGTTTTCCACCGGGCTCTGCTGCTTTTTTTTTTTTTTTTTTTTTAATTTGATTTATATGCTTGCTGCAAAGAGGTAAATTGCTGGAGCAGATTTTTTTTTCCCCTTGTGCTAATCAAGCTATGCTGAAAATGAAAATGAAAGTAAAGCAGGCTGTTTGCTGCAACAAGGCAAAATTGCTCAGAGGCAGAGGGTGATTTCTTTTTCTTCTTTTCCTCACCAAAAAAGGTAGGTGCATCTTATACTCCGAAAAATACGGTAGTAGGGATCACTGCATGAATTTGACTTTTAAATGTTGCCCACTAAAATATAGTATGATGCTCACATTAAACTGATAAATTTGTTTCTGTACCTTGTGAACAGTTAAACATCTGTTCACATAGAGATGAGTTACATCTTAATTTAATTGCTATAATATGTAAATGCTGTTTTGGGCATAAATCCATGTAGATAAATCTGCTTTCACCTCTCCTGTTATATAAGTTTAAATCTTGATTTATGCAGGATATTCTTGTCTAATATTCTAAACTGCTTAAATTTAGTAAAATTGTTGCATGGCATTTCAGTTCCAGTTCCTAGTAGGCTGAAAAATTGATTATGATGTTAGCCTGATGAAAACATCTTTGCAAGTAATGTATTTGAGATGTTAAAGTTTTATAATTAAACCTATCCAGGCAGTGATTTGAAGAACTAAATCATCTAGAAATGGTTTAAAATATTCTAAGGCACGGACTCGTATGCTGACACCAAAGCATCAGTAGAACACTTCAAATACTATAGAGCATATGAAAAACTTTTGCTTTGATTGCTTTTCTGAGTGAAATACGGGAACGTGCCTTTCAGCTCTCCAGAAGCAAGGACTTCATGCACAGAGGCATGTCACAGAAAGAAGCATTCTCTTTCTGCCCTTTTCCTCCTCCTAGTCCAGTGTTTCTCAACCTTGGAAGCTTGAAGATGGGTGGACTTCAACTCCCAGAATCCCCCAGCCAGCAGTGCTGGCTGGGGGATTCTGGGAGTTGAAGTCCACCCATCTTCAAGCTTCCAAGGTTGAGAAACACTGTTCTAGTCTCACTAGTTGGTGGTGAATTTTAAGTATGCCTCTTTGAGCTGATCAGACTGGATGGCTTAGTTCTCCTTAAAGTAGAACTGAAGGAAGGATTTATCCTGTGAATCAACAACACATATAGCAATTTATTTAAAATCAGTAGAACAAAATTATCCCCCTTGCTTAAAAAGTGAACCTGTAAACAGGCTGTAACAAATGTTCCTATTAAAAATCTGTAAGGTGATGTTTTGCTAGATTTTTCCAGTTCTAAGTAATCATTGTGAAGGCCTTTCAAAAACTTAAAATTCCCTTGCCTCTGCAAGGCTTTTGTAGATGCATATTGTAAAAAAAGGTGATTCCCACTTTTACAGAGAAATTGTATTATATTAACCTTAAAAGTAATCATTATATCCCACTCTTGCTATATAGCCCACAAAATAACGATTTGTTTTGTTCTAGATTTGAAAGAGGTCAGGAGTGCATTTGATGTGTTTAGCATCTCTTCAGAAGAAAAAAATGAGTATTTGGACAGTCGAAAAAAAGAGGAGTCGGCACATGAGTCTAGATCCACAGATGAATTTAGATTAAAAGATAAGCATGGCAGGAGCAGCAGAGATGAGACCGATACTTGGGCATACATTGCAGCAGAAGGTGACCACGAAATAACTTCTGAGGACACTTCTGGTAAGTTAACTATGTGCCACTGAGGACAAAAGCTCATTTCAGATGGCTATATATGGCTATGTACGGCTATCCACAAATAGGTAAGGGATTCAGCATAAAGTGACCTTTGAAGAATCCTTTATCTATTTAATTCTTGAAAGCTCAGCATCCACTCTCCATTGCATTAAGTATTGTAAGTCAAATGTTCCCTAGAACAGGGGTCCCCAACCCCCTGACCATAGCCCAGTGCTGGGCCACAGCCTATTGGGAACCGGGCTGCAGAAGTGATGGGCGAGTGCACATGTCTGCGAAGCTGCATTTATGAAAACGGTGCGGGCACACAAAACCATCCTCTCTCCCCGCCTCCGCCAGTCCGCCAAGATGGCAACTGCTGCCTTAGAGCAAATTAAAATCTTCTATAGGCCTTTATGTTGAGAAAAGGTTTACTTAGGAGACAACAACTGTGTGTTGAAATTATTTTAGAATTTCTTACTGAATCGTGTAACTTGATTAATGATAAATGCAATGTTTTGAGATTATGGAGGAAGGCATAAAACATCTCAATCCTGGATCAGTAGTGCCAAAAATGTTATGATCAATAAATATATACATCCAAGTATATCCAAAAATAAACATGTCCATTAGGAAATACAATATACATTGATTTATCACTAAATCTGACTCTAGCATGTTTGAACTATATTTGTTTCACAGAGGATTCAAATACTGTTAATTTTATAATTGAATTTACAGAGGTAATAAGCAGAATGTGAATTCAAACTATTTCATCTTTAAAACACTTCATTTCGAATTCAGAACAATGTTTTTGAGTACAAAACAAGTGGCTTATGATCTATTTCAATCACTTAGGATATATGTCAGATTCAAATTTTCGGATGGTTTGAAATAGCTATTCTGCCCTCAAAATTCAGAGTGGTTCTTGTACACCAGTAGTGAGAAGGAAGGATGTCTGCAGAGATAATTGATTTGATGATGGGAAGATTTACCTTTTTTTCTTTTCTTCTAAAAATCCAAACATGATAGATACAAAGCAACAGACCATGAGTTTAGGTATGGACATGCAATTAGAATGGCTATCACTAGAGGACTTTCAGAAACATCTTGATGGAGAAGATGAAGAGCCCCTGACAAATGACGTGATATCATCAGGTGAGTAACACGCAGAGACTGAACAGCTGCATATCTCCATTTCTTAAACATATTAATTCCTGTTGAATGTTTCTTTTCTAGTTCAGCTGCGAGATGCTGTTAAAAATGGGAACTATACTATGGTAAAGATGGCACTTAATTCAAACGAAGAATATAATCTTGATCAGGAGGTATGTTTCAATAGAGTACATTATTTATTTTATATAATCATACAATAGGAATTTAATCTTCTGAAATACTATTTAAAGATACTGGATCATAGATAATGTGTTTCATAATGTTTAGATTATGATTTCTAGAACACAAATCTATTTGTATTTATACTGCATAGAGTAGCCTTTACGTCGGTATGACTGCTTCACAATTTATTACTTTAACAAATTTGTGTATCTGTTGTATTAATAAAAAAATATTACTCATCTGAAAAATTATTCCACTAATCAGCCAGCGTATTTTTATTTAAAAATACATTTTAGCATATCAGAAAAATTGACATATCAAAAATGATAAATATTATCCAAGCAAAGTTTTTTCTGTTCACTCTTAACATAGCACAAAATATCTCTTCTGAATTCAGGAATATATAGAAAATATAGGGTTTTTTACTTGTGTAATGCTTGTGAGTATGCTGTATGTAGTCAATTTACTTAACAGCAGAATACTGTAGTTAGAAGTTTTCTTCAGATTCAGCACAGTTAATTTGCTGTAGTAACCATGTTACCTTCAATAATCAAGGTTACTTCTTCAGGAACGTATTTATATTGGTAACCAACCATTATAAATCACTGTTGCAGGATTCTAGTGGAATGACTCTGGTGATGCTGGCTTCTGCAAGTGGTCACGACGACATTCTTCGACTTCTTATCCGGAAAGGAGCTAAAGTTAATTGCAAACAAAAGAATGGCACAACTGCATTGATTCATGCAGCTGAAAAGGTCTGTTTCCTGCTGCCTTTTTTATGTTTATTCTTTCTTCTAAAATTATGCTAGTTGAACTTGGCTTTTGGGGAAGATCTGACCCGCGGGGCCACCTTGGAAACAGTGAAGGACTGGCCCGCAGTGCCTCTGCTGGCACAGGGTTGCAGGAGGCCGTTGCAGCTGGAAACAGCTCGGGAGCCAGTTTTCGCTGGCAGAGCGCTCAGGCCACCACAGGCACCCCTGACACAAGTGACATTGAGTTGGCCATGCCTGGCCACGTCCACCCTGGCCCCCCCAAGTCAAGCACAACCCTGATGCGACCCTCAATGAAATTGAGTTTGACATTCCTGGCTTAGATTATTGGTTCAACTCTACCGTTGATCTCTTTTTCTACTGCTTTTCCATAGTATGCCAAACTCATAGGTGTTCTCAAGAATATTACCTTGCTTCAAGACATAATACTATTTAAAGAGTCATGCAAATATGTAGCATGTTTCTTACATGTAGTAATCGAGAGAGAAATTAAAACAGGCTAGCAACAATTCATAGGGGATTTAATTATAGCTGTAAGCAGAAATTCTTGAAATGAGTGGCATAAATCTGCTTTGAAGGAACTGAAAGTAATTTGTATGTGTAGCGTATACTGATCAGGTAGTCTTGTATGTGTTGTTGCTTGGCGGCACATTCCGTGATAGTTTTACTATTATATTGTATACTTTCTGCAATATTTACCTTTTTAACAACATTAACAGAATTGAAAGGAACCTTGAAGGACTTCTAGTCCAACCCCCTCCTCAAGCAGCAGACCTTATCCCATTTCAGACAAGTGATTGTCCAATCTCTTCTTAAAAACCTTCAGTGATAGAGCATCCACAACTTCTGAAGGCAAACCATTCCATTGATTAAGTGTTCTTACTTTTCTTAAATTTGATCACTTTATCAAAAAAGTAATACCATGCTACCTTGTACTAAATCATGACATTAAGAAGTGTGAAATATAGATAATCATACCTTTCTATACTGTGCAGCTCCTTCTCCATTTTCAGACATTTTTTACAAGTGCAAGTAGACGTGAATAAGAAGCTTGAGATTAAATCTGGGATCTTCTACATCTAGTGTCAGAGTTTCATTAAGTGACAGTGTTTTTTTCATCTTGAAATCATTAACCAACATTGTATAGAAAATAGAAGTGGATTTACCTATAAGAGCAGGGGGATAGAGATTTGATCTTTTTCAGCCAACATTTACTTTAGTATAGTTGATCAGTATTTTTTTTTGCCAGCTACTATTTTGTATTATTTAAAATACATTCTGCACAAATCATGCTTATTCCTAGCATTGCTGATTCTAATATTTGCACATTTGTTTATTTTTTTAGGAAAAAATTTTTTTTTAAATGAAATGATTGTTAGAATCTAATTATTTGTAGTACAAGTAGTCCTTGATTAATGACTGATAATTTAACAACAGTTCAGTGACCTCAGAGATTTATGATCTGTTATGGCCATTGAACCACCCTTGCAGTCACATGATCACAATTCGTGAGGCTTGGCAACCAGATCACATTAACCACCTGCGATAATGTGATCATAATTTTCAGCCAGTTTCAGACATGAAACATAATTTGGGGGAGCTGGGTTCACTTAACAATCATGTGATTCACTTAACAGTAATGGTGATTCGCTTAACCACAATAAAAATGGTCATAAAATTGTGTGCAGTCATGTGATGGCTTTGCTTAGCAATCAAAATTCTGGTCCCAATTGTGTTCCTAAGTTGATGCCTACCTGTAGTTCTGGTGATAAGCAATCTAGTCCGCGGTCCTCAAAATTTGCAGCTTTGCACTGCTTTGGGGGAGGGGGGGGAGGAGAAGAGAACTAGGATGCACAAGTGGCTGGCTGGCTGGCAGGCACACATGTGCATGCAGACCAACATGCCCAAATGCCCATCGGTCCGCTGCTTGTGCAAGTTGAGCTGCATACACGCTGGCCAGCCACTCGTGTGGCCCACTTCCGAATAGGCCATGGCCTGGTAGTGGGACCCCTGATCTAGAGAGCATTGCTGCAAAGAAAGGCGTACTCTTTTTACAAATAAGAAAGGAATTGCTGGACGAAGTCTCATTCGACATACATTTTTAATATGTAATGTCTAATTTGCAACCCTAAACTATGTTCTTTGAGTAAAATGAGAATTCTTCATTAGAGAGGTTAGTATAATAAACCTTTGTATAGATCTTTGATTCATTATTTTCAGTTCTCTTAGGTTCAGAATATTCATGTGTGAATCATTTTGTTTTTGTAGAACAATCTAACTACTGTAGCCCTTCTCTTGGAAGCTGGTGCATATGTGAATGTGCAGCAAAAGAATGGCGAAACTGCACTAATGAAGGTATTTTTTGTTATCTTGAGTAAACTTGAAAAATAATGGTAAATTTGGATATATTATTTTCATCTAGACAAGTTATTTTCTTTAAAAATTCTAAAACGTTAGTCAAAAATTTAATTCAGTCACAATTTAAATAAATGCTAATTCATAAGTACAAGAAATGTTCATATTTGGGAATAAAACAAATATGATAATGAACTGTAATGTTATGAAAACATTTATGTGTTGAAGATTATGGACTTGATTGTTGCACTGAGTTAATGTTTATTAACTTAAGCTCAGACCTCAGGGAATTGATCCTGTATGGACAGATGAATGTTGGAGAAGATGGTCCCTTAGTAAACCTGGTCTGGAAATGTGTAGGGCCTTTCAAGGAGACAACCAGCATATTGTAGCACACCCAGGAGCCAACTAGCAACCAGCTAGAGCCGTGTTGGCGAACCTATGGCATGTGTGCTGGAAGTGGCACGCAGAGCCGTCGCCTGTTGCTCTTCCAGGTTCCGGTGCGCTGGCCAGCTTGCCTCACTCGCCGAGAGAGTGGCCATCAGCCAGGGAACGGCGGCTCCCAGCGGGAAGGAGCCTAGGCAAGCTTCCCTGGCAGCGCTCTTGGCCCCGCCATCTTGGCAGCGCCATGCACTGGCCGGGGAACAGCTGTCTCACCAGGGAATGGGCCGGTACCTAGTTGTCCTCCGGTAAGAGGAACGCCGGCCCTCTTGGAAAAGGGGGGGGCATGTTCAGAGATGCGCATGTGCAGTGCGGCGTGCATGTGCAGGGGGAGAATGGGGGGTCCTGTGCGCATGCGCAAATGCATAATACATTGCATTATGGGTGCCGGCACACAGTGCCAAAAAGTTTCGCCATCACTGTCCTAGAGCAAAGGGTTTGCCCAAGTATATCAGGATGTATCCATTTGTCCCTAGGCCACTGCATTTTGTATTACTATAGCTGCTGAATTATTTCCAGCACTACAGAACCCAGTAAATCTATGAAATCCAGTGCTACTAGCATCTACCCCAAAATATTCATGTGTTTTAACTGCCTTTTCATAATATCTCTTGGTAAACTCTCACATGCAGGCTTGTAAGAGAGGAAATTATGATATCGTCCGTCTTATGATTGAAAATGGAGCTGATTGCAATATTTTATCAAAGCATCAGAGCAATGCTCTTCACTTTGCGAAACAGTGTAATAATTTATCGGTATCCGAACTCCTCAGGAGTCACCTGGCTATGTAAGTCCTTTCATTGGAGGTGATTCAATTTCCTTAGTGAATTGGGAAACATTGATGTCAGATTTTTTTATTGGAAGATTGTATTTTTTAAAGTTCTTTTAATACAACGCTTAGTTAGATGATACCTTACATGCTTATTTTCCTGACTGTTAGCTTTTAGGAAGATACTGCTTTTATTAATAACTTCAGTCTGTGAGGGATTTTTAGGCCTCTTCAAGTTTGAAGGATTTTTAACATTGTTTTATGCAAGCCAAAACTTGGATTACATTTCAAATTCGGAAAATCCTAAAGTTATTTTTTTATTTTTATTTGCTTCAGTACTTTTTTCTTTTGAATGAATAGATATTTACAAGTCGTCTTATAAACAAGTAATAATAAATATGTAATAAACTATTTTAGTTGAATTTTTAATAAAAGGAAGTTTTATCCAGGCATTGCTCTTTTATATGAATAACTTTTTTTTATAAAGCCTGTTGTTTAATTTTTTATAATCTTGATTTAATTAGTATATAGTGATTAATATATTTACATGTTACAATGAGTATTGGCAATTTACAAAATTAAAATACAATTATATCAGCCAAACCATCCAGAATACAATAAAAATATCACATTAACAATATCTAAAAAGAAAACTAACTCCATCCATGCATTCCCTGTGGAATTCAGCTTTGGTAGTTTAAATCCAGAATCTCAGTGGGCAGGGTATCATGATATGATTAAGATACCGGTATATTCAGTTTCTGGAAAACAAAGAGGAAGAATGGGCTTTTATATGGAAAAAAAAACTTAAGAGAAATATGGTAGAAGGAGAGAACTTTGCTTATCTGCTGTATACAGAAGAAGCTATTATGCAGAAAAGATTCTTTAAAAATGATTTAGTGGGACTGTTTGAGACAGAGACTTTTATTGAAGTTATGTTCATTTATACTTAAATGAAAGAAAAGGACTTAGCTTATAAAAAGTCTCAATTTCATCCCTTTGAGGGTGGAGGCTTTAGAGTTTTGGGAAATAAATGTAATTCAGTTCTAAATACTGAATCCAGAAGTAGATTGGATTTACAGTAATGGCTCTAGCAGTCTGAAAGTTGGGTGGGAGGGCTTCTGACCTGCTTTGTTCTTTCTATTTATTGATATTTTTGGGTGCTCTGTGAATATAAGGAGGTCATCAACTGGCAAAATATTATTCATTGAGGATAAACTATGACCCGTTATCTAGTACAACAATTACAAATTCTAATTTTGCTTGATTTTAGGCTAACCCGAGTGGCAGAAGAGACCATCAGGGAATACTTTGAAGCCCGTCTTAGTTTGATGGAACCAATATTTGATATTGCATGTCATCTGCTTTGTGAGGGACCAGATTATTCTTCAGAATTCACCTATAAGGCCCCACAGAACGTGCCTGAAGGTTGTATTTGGAGACAAGTTTGATCAAACAGTGAAATGAAAATCCAGATATTTAAGAGTGTGATATCTACCTTATGGCTATCAGCCAGTTGGGATATTTAAATAAAACACGTGAAAGTAAAATAATACGCTAATGATAATAGGTAGCATTTTTAAAAAAAAATAAAGTATTGAGATTGACAGGTTGTATTGCTTAGAGATTTATTATTTTTTTGAGAAAGAGAGAGAGACAATATAGTGTATTTAATAGTGGTGTTAAATTAATCTGAATCTTCCAAGTGAATAGAAATTGGGTTATGAGAGAAAAAACAGGTAAGAATTTTTTCAGAATTATAATCCTAAAAATTGGATTTTCCAAAATTAAAATATCTGATTTTATTTAACAATACTTTGCATTAGAATTTTATATTAATGAGTTCTTTATTTAATAATCCTACGTACAAAATGTAAAAAGAAATTAATCTTTAAGAGTCCCAAATCAATTCATGTTTCTTTAAGCATTTACTTTCCAGACTACCTTTCTGAATCAGACTTGGGCATTTGTTATGAAAGAAGGGATCTGATTTGCAGTTACATGGCTTAAGAACTATGAAATACAATCTGTAGAGCTACTTTTTAATATTCAAGGTATAATTCAAGCTGCCATCTATTTGTGTATTAGAAACTAGTTTATAATTGGTTAATCACTTTTTCATAGAGAGATGGCAGTTCTTTTTTCTTGTATGCTCTCGAAATGAGTGTTCATTGTTTTTCCACAGGATCTGGGATTCTTTTATTCATTTTCCACGCAAACTTTTTGGGGAATGATATCATTGCTCGGCTTTGTGGACCATGCAGTGTGCAAGCTGTGGTTTTGAATGACAAATTCCAGCTGCCTGTGTTTTTGGTAATTTTTTTCATCGCTTTGGTTACTTATATCATCTTTAGAGATGTATGGGGTTTTTTTATTTTTAAGAGTTAACAATTCATCCTTTTAACAGAGGAATCAAGACTCATTTTAAACTTAATCTTGTATTATGGGGAATACCTTCAGGTTTTTGAAAATTTGGAAAATCTTATGAGTTCATATTTTGCACACAAATATTCTCTGTTTCAATCCTTGATATCTCCTATTTGTTGTGAAAGATTTGCCTGTCTACTGTTTGCATATATAGATCTATAAATAGTTGAAACATGGTTTATTTCATGTGTATCTTAAAATGGTTATATCTACATTTATGGGCCCACTAAAGGCAACAGTTTACATTTTTAGCTGTGAACTTTTATCATTCCAAGACGAATGCATCAATCCCCCTATTTATATAGTACATCTTTCTTTGCTTAGGACCTAAAACAATTTTAGAGTGGGATATGGAGGATCATTAAAGTTAAACAATTGTGCTTATTGTTTTAAATATATAGTTGTATCTACATTTTTGGTAAATATTATTGACCGGTGCACTAAGCATACTCAGTAGCTCTTTTTCTCCCCACCCAGCAAATACCAAACAAGCATAATTTGTGCACATATGCCCATCACATAGATTCAATCTTTTTTTGTACAGCAATTATTTGTGGTTGTCCCAGCATTCCTTGCTACTTTTTTTGCACATAACAGGCAGTAATCTGTTACATAACTTTGTTACATAATTCCTAGATTTCATTTTAAGGCTATAAACTGTAGCTCTTTGCTTTCCAACATCAGGCTTTGTCATTGCTTCCCTTCTCATTCTCATTTAAGGTAGTTTAATAGTCAGCTAGTAACGATTTTTAACATATATGAAAATTTGCATGTTCTTTAATTGGCTAAACTAGATTTACTAGTTTTTTACCTTATTTTTTTGATATAAGGTAGATTTACTTTATTTTTTTGCCTAGTAGCTGAACTTATCTTTCTGTGAGAAAGGAATGGAATTTGGTATGCAATACCAAGTAAATGTTTCCTTCCTATTAAAAAAAACCCCTCTAAAACAGGGGTCTCCAACCTTGGCAACTTTAAGACTTGTGGACTTCAATTCCCAGAGTTCCTCAGCCAGCTTTGCTTTGCTGGCTAATGAACTCTGAGAGTTGAAGTCCACAAGTCTTAAAGTTGCCAAGGTTGGAGACCCCTGCTCTAAAATACATATAGAAACTATAGATCTTGCAGAGAAGCTAGTGTGATAGTAGATGGCAGTTTTATTTAGCACTGTATAGTTAAATATGCTATGTACGTGTGTGTGGGAGAGACAGAATACACTTAGAGCAGGGATGGGCAAACTGTAGCCCTTGGGCCAATTTTGCACTGCCTTTGGCCTAATTTCAGAATCTCTGTGTAAGAGAGTTCTATCTGTCCCACCCTGCAATTGGGAGTCAGAGAGGAGGAGGGAGGTGTCTGAAGGAAGAGAGTGGTCAGAGAGCACATGGGTATTCCCATTGCCATTCCCTTTTGGCTCTGGCCCTGCCTACTGCTTGCTTCAATCCCACCTACAATATGGCCTGCAACCAAGGGTGGTGTGGGAGAGATTGCCCACTCCTGCTTTAGAAGCTTTGCAAGTGATCTGTTGATGAAAGATAAGAGAGAAACAATCAAAAGAATATTCTGCCTTCAGACAGTACTTGAAGGTGCTGCTGGTACCTGTTATTTGGCTCCGAGTAGAGAGTAGAGAGGTACCCTTTGCCTTCATCTCATCCTTTCCCCTCCCTCCCAGCCCAACAGAGCCTGCCATCCTGGCCAGACAGAGCAGCTTACTCAGCGGATCTTACAGGTGAGTGGCTAGGCTAATATCTGTTAGGGCATTCATGCCAATCTTATCCAGCCATATGCTCTCCCTGCCTTATTTTACTAGGCGTTACACATCCGTTTCCTCTACTTGTCTCTGCCCATGCCAAACCTCTTGCCTACTTTTGGGCACTTCCAACCATCTTAAGTTGGTTTCCAGTGATTAAAAATACTAAGGCAAGGCTTGCTGGATTATGTCCAAAGTTCATATAGATTAGTGTTTTAAAAAACAACTTGTTTAATTTCAAGATTTCTGTGTTTCATTTCCTGGTTTGTTTTTTTTTATATATATATATCTGCCTCCTAGAAGCTGCATGTGTTTTTAGTTGTGCTGTAGCTTTTATGGTTGGCATTAGGTTTTTTTGCCATGCAAATCGATAACAGGCTTAATTGGTGAACAAGAGTTAACATGCATTAAAAGATATTTGGGGGGGGGGTGCTTTTATATTTTGCCTGGCTTGTGAGAGATGTTACATCTATGAAGTGGATTCATTTCTTTTTCCTCTTTATTTTAGGATAGTCACTTTATTTATTCCTTCAGTCCTATTCAAGGCCTTAACAAGCTCTTCATACGTTTAGCAGAAGTCCCAACAGCAAAGGTGAGAACAGCAAATGAAGGGCATTATTCGAATGAATATATAGAAGTTCCCCAAAGGCAATTTTGAGCCTACTGTTAGAAATGCCTAGTGTAATCCATATTCTGACTATAAAGCACTAGTAAAGATATAAAAACATATCCCATGGCTTTTCTAAAATGTCTTTTCACATGAAAATGTGTAAAAACATGCCTCTAAAATATATTGAACATATGAAACGCTCTAGTTTATGAGATACCGTTATACTGTGTGAATTTATTTAGAACCTACTATGCTGTGTCTCATGTATTTCATACATTGATATGGAAAGATTTTGTGACTTTTTGTCCCTTACAGGTTAAGCTGCTGATAGCTGCCTATAGAGTGCAATTACAGTGACTTGATGCAATTTTATTGGACTCTCTTCCTCATTCGAGTCTCAAGAAGTATGGAATTCCTGGTGCATTCAGTGTTGTTTAATCTCAGTTCATTTTGTTTGAATGCTATTTACATGTGAAACTTCCCATTAAGTAGCAAATACACTGCTTTAAAACATTGTGAGAGATTTATTTTGTAGACCTACGTAGCTGTATTTGTGTCAATGACTGTAATTCAACTTGTAAGGCTCAGCGTAACATTTCCACAATGTGGAATGATAGTTTTTAAGAGCAAGTATCTTGGTTGTGTATTAATGCTCACATTTTGCCCTGATTTTGATGTTTATATTTAAGTTTATATAAAAAAAAACCAGCTATAAATTTCTATTGCTGTTATAAAAAAAGAACTTAATAAAGAACTTCTGTGACTAATTTATCTGAGCAGAAGTTTAATATAAGAGAAATTTAGGATGGATCATTTAGAACATATGAACAAAATTTGTACCAAGAGATATGGTAATGAAATAATGGGTAGTGTTTTATTCTTTAGGTTTAATAGGTACAGGAGAAAATAGTTTTTCAGATACATTTGGGATATTTTTTTTAAGGCAGATTATATTTATAGATTTATGTTGAACTCCAGCCATGCAATGCTCCCCAAATGATTAAACTATTGCCCTGATCTAATCTATATTGGTTCTGAGATAAAAATGTAAGATGTGCATAAATCCTATTTGGATGTAAAAATTAAAGTTTTGTTAGTCAAACTTCAGCTTACATCTTCTGCTATTCATTTTTAGTGTCACAGCATTAAAATAGCTTATAGAAAGAGTAATGGTAAATTAAATACTAGTATATTTAATTTTAAACTGCTAAATGGCAATGCAAACGTTAAGGTCGGCATTGGGCACATCAACTTCTCTTAAGGTAATACAGAGGAAAGATTTTGCAAAAATTCCTTCTCTTATGGCAAATTCCCTCATTCTGCCCAAATATCACTGGATGTATCTGTGGGGTAATATTTTCTTTATGCTATCTAATGCTGATACTACAGCCACCATTCCTTTTTTTAGGAGCTGATGACTGGAAATAAAACAATGCAGATTTCATGGTGTCCCTTTAAGCACTATGAATACAATATAAAATATACATGCTCTGTAATAGTTGCAATTGATTATAGTGCACTTGAAAGTTTTTGACTAATTTGTAGAAACCTAAGACAGTTGTTTTTAAAACTGAAGTTTCTTGAGCTTTCCCATCATTTCTTTATGCTGATCCCACTTGGCCATCCCTGCCTTTGAAAAGAAGTCATAGAATGAAATATTTGATACCTTGAAATAGATGGGCCTGATTCAACGTTACAAAAATAAACTGTAAAGATGGTCTTCAAATCTCTGCTCTCCACCACCGATGGATATAAAATAGTATTTGTGACTATCAACAAGTACATACAGAGGGTTCTTCCACTCTGGAAATGCAAGGAAATATAACCCACAGCCACTTTTCAAAGCAGTATTCTCTGTGCACTCTGAATATCATTTTTTTCCAGTGGTGGGCAATCAAAAGCCTAGTAATAGCTTAGAATTTCTCTCTGTAAATCTATCAGTTGAGACATCTCCACTTGCTTCTTGAACTAACACCTTATTTTTAAAATTAAAAAAGCTGAAGGGTGGCAAATTTATTTTATTAAATGTTTTTGTAGCCTGCCCCAAGGAGAAAAAGCAAAAAAACCACAATAGTAAAATAAAGCAAAAAGCCCCAACCAATACAAGCAAACATTCCTATGGTATGGGCCATTCAGTTAACTAGGGAAACAAATGGGAATAGTAAAGCATTACTTCCTTGCAAAATGCAGGATGTGTTGGGGGTCATACTCTATCTCTGGAAAGTCAGTAGAGAAGGAAGCTACCAGTGTGAAGGCCTGTAAGGTATGCTTGTATCTGCTGAGAAGTGTGGTGGGGTACAGAGAATGGATTCTCAGCAGGCCTTCACTAGATATTCAGGCTACGTTGAGATTCAATTCTAGCAAGACACTGGCTGACTTATTCCAGCACTGTATTGTATAGGGCTATAAAACAATACTCAACACTTTAGCAAGGGGCCCAAAACTTTATAACCAACACAGCAACCTCAAATCTGTATACTGGCAGATTGTTTTCCCCCAGCAATCTAGAGATCCAAATTACTACATGTAATTCAGCTAGATCACTGATGAATCTAGGACACGTGACATGGCATGTTTTAGGTGAAATGCCAACATTCCCCAAAACCCAGTAACTTCTCAAAAGCATGCATGATTTTCAGAATGGGATGTATTTTCACATGGCCTCTGGAGCCTCCAGCATTCACATAAGGGCTGTGCTCTCACGTGGCATCCAAAAAGCACGCGAGAATAAGACATGCTTTCGCATGGTTTGCAGAGGCAGCAGAACAGCATGCTCCAAAGCCACTTCCAAGAAAAGCCTTTTGCGACCAAATGCAGCCTCAGGTAGGCCCCATGGGCCTGTCAAGAGAAAATACCACCTGATCACACTATTCCCCAAGGCTTGTGCACTTTGGAAAACAGCAAGTACTGAAGTTGTGTTCAGAGTGATCCAGTAGGGAGGGAAGCATGGAAAATTTGAGAATGTTTGGCATCACTAAGATGAGTAATAATTGGGGCATGCCAAAATCAAGGTAGGCTTACCTAGGTAGAGTCTTACCTGGTGCATTAGCTAAAATTGGGTGAACTACTTATCCTGTCACAAAGTTCACTTGGTGCTTAAGCAGCATCCTAGATCTCCATGTCACAAAACTCTTCAGGAACAATGCCACTCAGAATACCAGAGTCATTTATTGGATTGCCACATTGTTTACTAACAAATTGCAATTCCAGTAGTATTTGAGCTTGTTTGACCTTATCCAAACCCTCCAAAAGATTTGGATAAGGTCCAAAGACAAAAGTTCAAGATCTCTAAATATTAGTTTTCCCAATGTTTCATGCAGACGTTTATAAACATAGGTGAGGGCATTGAGTTCTAGTGTTTCCAATTTGAGTATTTGTGGATAAAAGCTGTCCTCCCCGTATCTACTAGTGAACTACATAGAACCACTATAATTCAGTACCCCAACCTTTGCTGGTGGTCCATGTTTAATAGTACTGAATTCCAAATGTCCCACCCACCCATCCTCCATTCCACAAGTCCTGATGCTCATTCACAAGACTAACTAGAGTTGTTTCAGTCCCACAACTGGGCCTAACTGGGACCAGTTGAAATATTCTGTTTTCTACAATTGGTTCCCTAAAAAGGGAAAGTTGAAGACTGGTTGAAAGTTATCCATCAGCTGAATCAAAGGAAGACCAAGAAAAGGCACACCACTGCTTCTTTCAAGGAAAACAGCATTTTTTATTCCCTCTGAATCCAACTAATCACCAGCTAGTCATCCAAAGGAACCAGGCAAGTGTAAATCAAGCCGACAGATAGGACTGCTTGAAGTACAAAGAACATTACCCACTAATTTGATTTTTGTATATGAATTGTACATTATTGTGACCGTTGTATGGCTGCAGTTGTTTTTAATAACCAAGAGAAAAAAATCCCCCAGCACTGGCAAGGCAAGCTGCTGAATTTAAAGAGAGCAAATTCCACACTAGCGCTGATTAAGTTACCTAGCTAGGTAATGAAACATCTGTAAGCAAAACAACCAAGCTCAGCACCAAGGACTCTATTATATATAGAGATCCTTGCACTAGCACCGTGATGGTGAACCTGTGGCACGTGTGCAGGAAGTGGCATGCAGAGCCACCTCTCTGGGCACGCCAGCTGTCACCTGTTACTCTTCCAGGTTCCGGCGCACAGCTGGTCTTTGCGCACAGGGGAGCGCCGGAAACAAAGAGCAGTTCCCTGGTGTGCATGCACGTGCCAGGAAGCTGAGCTTCCATTTTCTTTTGGTTTCTGGCGCGCATGCACATGAGAAAAGAAGCTGGCCGGCACACATACACACGCTGGAAACTGGAAGCTCAGCTTCCGGGCACTTACATGTGTGCCAGGGAGCTGCTCTTCCAGTTTACGGCGCTCTCCCACGTAATTACTTTCTTCCAAGGCTACTCCTATAATAGGATTTGTAAAATGTGAGCTATTGTAAAATATAGAAATCACTATTTTAATGCTAACACACAAAACGAAAAATGAAAATGAAGGAGCAAGCATAAACTAATTTTGGAATCATTTAATGACTGAACATTTACATAGTTATCACAAATACTCAATTCAAGCATTGTTCTTATGCAGATGTAGGTTTCCTCTTCAGTTTCACAGAAGCAATATATTTGATCAAGTAATGTGGGGCTCTCTAAGTTTCAAGATGGATTCTTCAAGCAAAAGCTGAATGAAGCTGTACTCCAACCTTTAAAAACAAATAGTCCAAATAAAATATATGTCAATTCGCAAAGATTTCCCAACCTGACAATATAATTATGAATAACTTTTAATGTGATTACATCTTCAGTACATTTTGTTCTGATGAACGTATACTTTGATTTAGTAGTTGAAATGGTTTGAGAAATGTTTTGTGTGCATTGCCTAGGCCAGGGGTGTCAACTGACGTCCCACGGGCCAGTTGAGTCACTCAGGCCACAAGCACCCCAGCTCCGCGAAGGGGAAAAACATTGTGAAACATCACATGACACAATGAGTTTGACACCTGTGGCCTAGACATTTGTTTAGCCCCACATTACAACTTTCAGAAGCATAAAGTGATTAGAAATAAACATGAAGCTATAATTGGAATATGTACCTTAGGGCTAGTCTCTTCCATGTGGTTAAAGATGATATACCAAAATCTGATATTATCTCCTATCTCGGAGGCCTGAATCAATTTTTCTCAGAGATCTTTCTGCACATTTTTTTAAATTTTTCAGTAGGGTTTTATACTCCTCCCTTTTTTTTTTTTTTTTTTGCTCCCGAAGATTTCAGCAATTGCAGACAGCCTTTACTCTTATGTAATCTAAAATATTCAATTATGGAGTACTACCCTGTTTCTAAGACCCAAAATTCATCAGACCCGGTTTTCCTCCACTATTCATTCCTTTCTCAACCTGGTTTGGCTACATTTCCCACCATCCCTATTCAGCATGGCTGTTTTCACTTTAAAGACATAGGAATTTGGAGTAGCAAATTTCTCCTTAAATGCCATACTTCTCCCTTTAAACATTATTACATGGAAAATCACTCTTAATGAAAAAAAATGACTGGCATTTTTATGCCATAGTATTCTCATTCCTAATTGAATAGATAGTTACTTTGAAATTTTAAAATGGTGTCCTCGTTGTAATCCTGGTCGCTTTAATGATTACTGTTCTTAAGATGATTCCTCTTTCTCAATACAACCCCAAGATCACAGTTGCTTGCTTAATTCTGCATGGTACAAGTGTCCTGAAAAACATTCAACACGTCGTTATTACATTTCAACCATGATAACAGAGGTGGGTTTCAGCAGGTTCTGACCAGTTCTGGAGAACCGGTAGCGGAAATTTTGAGTAGTTCGGAGAACCAGTAGTAAAAATTCCGACTGGCCCCGCCTCCATCGATTCTCTGCCTCCCAATTCCCAGCTGGTCGGGAGGAAATGGGGATTTTGCAGTAACCTTCCCCTGGAGTGGGGTGGGAATGGAGATTTTACAGTATCCTTCCCCTGCCCTGCCCACCAAGCCCCGCCCACCAAGCCATGCCACCCCCCACCAAGCCACAGCCAAAGAACCAGTAGTAAAAAATTTTTGAAACCCACCACTGCATGATAACCTTTATAAATCTGATGGGATTTGTGGGTGTTTGACTTGGGGGGGGGGAGAGAAAATAAATCCATTCCTTTTTATTTGGCTTAGTCCTGATGGTGCTATTGAAGTATTACTTCTACTGTTAAAACTCAGACATGGACACCAAAATTAATATTAAATAAGACTTTCATCTTCTCCCTCATGATGTACAACATTTACATGAAACTGCTGAGGAGTTAAGCTAAAACTTTCCAGGGAACATCGTCAGTATACAGAGATTCCTAAATCTACTGCACTATGTTATCTAACATCAAAAAAGTGACTGAATATTCCCAGAGTGATGATTGGTTCAGATGAGGAAGAAGTTAAAATAAAATCTAGGCCAAATGAAGGTGATGTTATTAAATAGGAAACTACATTCAGATGAAGTTTAGTTTGCACCGAAAGGTTTCACTGCTCTGAAGAAATATACCGACAGTCTAAATATGCTCCTACATTCTCAGTATTCCAGTAAATTTAAAATAATTTAAGAGATTAAAAACTCTTGCCCCAAATACTCCCTTATTTATTAAATTTATATGCCGTCCATCTCTCCTACAAGATAACTGGGCTTCCTTCCAGGTGTATATGCAGGATATGGTTAAAAAAGTCAAGATGGAAGCAACAATGGTGCAACTGAAGCTACTCCTTCTGGGTCACATGAGTAATGCAATTAAAAAAACAGGGAGCACCATTTGTACCATTGGTGGCCATTTTGACTTTTCTGATGATGCCCCCTGGACACCCCTGTTCCTTTCAAATATGTTTTCCAATGGGACCCCAATATATTATGGATCTTGTTCTGTTATTCAGCTGGTCACCCTTACCAGTGAGGAGTATATAGCAGCTTCTTGCAGAAAAATGATTGCTTCTGGGCATAAACTGAGCATTGAGAAGCTTCCACATACCATTGGTTATTAAGAGTTGTAAAGAGAAAACAAAAGATACCTGAAATATTATAAAGAATTCGTCCTTCCCAGGTGATTTTGCATCTTCAGCCATACTTCAGAATCTTAACAGCTTCCTAGAAAGATATTTAATTACACCTGGTTAAATAAAGTATTTTCATTGTACGTTGTTGACTACACATGTTTTACTGTAATCTTCAGTTATTTCTCAAAGTTCATCTAAGAATTATCTATTGCAGATGAAATTAATCCTTCTGGGAGGTGGAGTATACAGATTTATGTAAAACTGAAAATCCATTTCTATCCCAAATAAAAATATAATTTTTCTTCTAAATACTAGGACTTCAACAGTGAAAATCAGCTTACCACTTTCCTTATAATTTGGGAATGCTCTGCATACTCTTCAACTCATTCATTTCCCCACCATCACCCTTCCCACGTATACCTGAAAAGCTGACAAGGTTCTCCTCAAACATATTTAGAAAAACTGATATACCTCACATGTTCTGCTCAAAAAATAGGATTGCATCAAAACATTCAAAAATAGGATTATAGGAAAAATAGGATTATGGAAGACAGATAAAAAGTAGTATTTTGTATTGTAATAGTGCTCTTCTTCTATTAATAAATGACTAGGAAAAAAGATAGAGTTAAAACATTCTGTTGAATTTGGCTTAGCATGCTGATCTTGGAAGCTGAGTGGGAGTGATCAGGGCACTGGAATTTCTAAAACAATTGTTGTGTAATGCTGCCAAGAAAGCACTTGGTTGCAGTTGTCAAGAACTGAGCTCAACTCAAGGATCTCTTTTAAAAGCTCTATGTATTCTGTTCAAAGCCATATAGACTGCAGAATTTAATAAACTAATTCTCCATTTCTAGAAGATTTCACTGCAAAGAGAAGTTTGAAAATGTATGGGAAAGAATAGTGATCATTGGGTCAGAAAGCAGGACGCTGCCCAGATACAACACTAGCAAAAGCAGAAATCAGTAAAATAACTGAATATATATCTAATTTAAATGCAATCATATATTAAGCACTGAATCCAGCTTTTCTAACCACAGAATCAATGTTTTAAGTAATACATATAGCCCCAGTTCAAGTAATACAAACTTCCTTCACTTCTTTTACAACCACAATTTTTGGATTTTAATTTCCAGTCCAGAGTACAATTAGGAATTTTACTTGCAAATAAGATTCACAATTAAAGCAATGTTATTAGATAAAAAAATTGAATAAACAGATTTTGTAATTTAAAAAGAAAACTAAATTTGTTGTTTTTATGAAACTTAAAATTACTATTTTAGATTGAGTATGGTAAATGTTTAAAATTTTAATTTAACAATATTAATTGGCAAAATTATGAATGAAGATCCATTATTCATTAAACAATTTTTAAGATTTTACCCTGAAACACTGGGTACAGTCTATGATGTCAATATTTTAAAATACCAATTTAAACACAAATAAAGTGATCAAAGTTGTTTAAAGAAAGAGCTCCACTTTAAAAGCAGCAGGAACACTAGATAGAAATCAAATCTGAGGTGTTTAATCTGTGTCAGTATGAAAAGGGGCTCTTTGGCTCCAGCAAATATTAGCCCAAGGTTAAAATAGTAAGGATTCAGTGCAGTTACCATTAGGGTGGTAACTACAAATCTCAGAGTCTGTTCATTCAGAGCAAGACATACGCTACCTCCCCCCCACACTGTACTCCAAAATGTCTTAACATTATAGCCATGGGTTGTATGTATGCATGTATTCATGAGTGCATAGTATGTACATATGTAATTGTGTAACTCCCAAATATAACAGAAGGATAAGTTTTCCATTGTGATCTGGTGCTGGGACGAAATCCCACCAATACCATTGAAACTGTCTGAAAAATGCTATAACTTACTTAGATACTATTTATCTAAGTGTTGGGTTTGTCCAGTTGAGGTAAGTATCCAGCAAAATAAGGCAAATACGTCCCTGCTTCACAACCGATAGTCATGTAATCAAATACTGTTCCATCTTTTCAGTTAAAAAATAATGTAGCCCATTGTAATTGTAAGGAATTGGAGGTTGGAAGTAATGTTATTTAATTTTGCTTACAATGGGGTTCCAACAATCCTACCTAATAAGATACATGGTAAACTCAATTAAAAGAGGAAAACCAAGACAATAACCAATCTACATTTAACAAAGTTTCTTCAATGAACTCTGTATGTTGCTTAATTGCTAATCCAGATACAATATTAAATTAAGGCAAGTGCATTTTTTTAATAAATTCTGCTATTTTAAATATTCAATTTTTAAACTGCATTTATAATTTACCGTTTGTTCTTACTGAAATGTCGTAAATACCGCTGATGATTTGATACTGCATTATGGTTAGAGAACCCAGCTGAGAAATGCTTAGTTCACATCTTTCTTGAATCATAAATGATAAACTGAGACCAACTATAACAATCCCAGCTCCCTACATGTGATATGCTAATAATACATAAGTTTCATAATGTAATCAACAGAAAGCATATTCAGTGTATTATCATATTCGACTTTTAAAAAAAGTTTGCAATATCACTCCGTTTGACAGTGATCTCCAATATTCTAAATATAGAGTCTCTTCCTTCCTCATTTCAGGATTCATATTTGGAAAGCTATCTGGCATCCTTTCTCATTCTTATATCAATCCATTAAAATTGTTACCTTTTACTTGTAGCATTTCAAGCAACTGTATCCCCATTATGTCCTTTCCCGTCCACATTTTTCAACTTTATTTAAGGAGGATGGCGTATTTGACTTAAGTCAAAAGACTTGCTGAAAGAGAGATATAGTCTGTTGCACGGTATTCCCTTTTGGACCAAATCATTTGTTTTATGAAGAAAGGGAACAAAATTGATTGGATACAATTATTTGTCATATTTCCACAAATTTAGAGTACATGTAGATGACAATTTCTTTAATTTTATTGCAGCAGGTATTTTCACTTTCTGTCAATAGTACTCTGCAAAATATTCAAATTCTTTCCTTTCTAAAAAAGAGTAAACAAGTATGCATAATATTATCTATTTATTAAAGATATTTCCATTCCAGTTCTACATATATCCCCATCGCAGTACTCCCCTTTCAGGATTAGCAACAAGATAGAGAGATGCAAAATAAGCACAAAAAATTTAAATGAGACGGAAGAGGAAATGAAACACATCTAAAACTAGTTTCCACCAATATCACTGATTTTTTGCAAACCAATATAGTGTACTTCCACATGTCCGTACACTAGTTCTTATACTACTTACTCTTACTTTTCCCCCAAGGTTTCTATATTCTATTTTAGATTTCCCACAATTTTTTCTCCTCTATTGAACCCTTTCATGCTTCCTTCAAATATTTGTTTTCCAATTCAGTCCGCATTCAAATCTCTTTATATGCCCAAACCATTTAGCATATTTCTCATATAACGGTTCATTTTTATATTCTGTAAATACATACATACCAGTTCCACACATGGTCATTTATTCTTGGGTCTTCAATGGTCTAATTACCTACTTTGTATTTCTTTTCTTGTCCCTACCCATCCATTCATATCCCCTAGCAGAACAATTTTTCTCTTGGATTGATTTCAGCACAGAGCAAGCACGTTTTTCCAACATTAATATGTATCTATCATTAGTTCATGGATTCCTATTTGCATATATGATTTACATTGTGGTGAACATGTGTGTGTGTTTGTGTGTGTTCACCACAATATAAATCATATACATTCTTACTTTCTGACCTCCGGTTCAGCCTTTTTATTCATATTTAAACTGCATTTTACCCTTTATAAGTTTTATACCTTCTCTTTTCTTTCCATTGCATAGATTTAAACACATTGCTTTTTTCATTCATTTCCATGTTTATGATTGTAGAACATACCAAAGCAATTTACAGTAAACATAACAACTTTCAAAATAAAAAAAAAAAAGAAAAAAACAAAGTAAAACAGAATATCTCTGTATTGGTACATCTTGATACCTCGTCATTTCATAATGCAGGCATCCGTCTAGAGAAAGTCTAGTTGTGTATTGTTGCCAGAAAGCAACAGGCAAGCTAAGGAAGCAAGCAAGAAAACACTACGCTATCTAGAAAGAAGCGTAGTGACTCCAGATATGAATAGTCAATCATGAGGAACAGTTAAGGCAAACCTATAGATTAGGGAACAGAAAAGTTAACTGTATGCCTAAATGGGAGATGCTTTCATGTGGATTCCTTCACTGAGCAAGGGATGGCATAAATGGCCCTTTATAATCTTTAAGCTTCTGTGAAATGAGAAGTATGCTCAGTTAAGTCTAATATGCATTTAATATACAGAGTATGGCAAGAACATCCAAAATTCTCTTATTTTATTTCCACTGCTTATTCCTTTATTGTGTACTAGTTATACAACTATCTAATGCTGTGGCTTTGTCTGTGGCCCTCTAATCCTCTGTTTTGAGAAAATACTTAAGAGTGCTTATCACAGCAGTTATGACCTGGTCACCAATGTACCAAAAAGAAAACTCATGGGATTTTTCTTGCCATTTTATTTCTACCAATTCAGTTTCATTTCATTTCTGTTTTACAAAGAAAGCAGTGAACTGCAGCCATTCATATGAAATAGGCATTCTTGGAAGGGGGGGGATCTGGAAAATGGGGATATACCAAATTTTAATAATTTTCCTCAAAATTAAGGTTTAAAAAAAGTAAATCTGGAAAATGGGTATATACAGGTAGTCTTCATCTTACAATCATTCGTTTAATGATTGTTCAAAGTTACAATGACATTGAAAACGGTGACTTATGACCAATCTTCACACTTACGTCCACTGCAACATCCCCATGGTCATGGGTTTAAACCCGGGTGTTTGCCAATTGACATGTATTTATGACAACTGCACTGTCCCAGGATCATGTGATCATCATTTGCAACTTTCCCAGCCAGTTTCCGAAAAGCAGCCAATGGATGAAGTCAGATTCGCTTAATGACTGCAGGATACACTTATCAACTGCAGTTATTTGTTAAACTATGACAAAAAATGTCATAAAAGGGGGCAAAACTCACTTAACTGTCTTGTTACCTGTAGCACTTTCTTATAATTTTCTTCAAAACTAAGATAAAGTTTAAATATTAAAAATAAGAGAGGGGGAGTGTTTGCAAGGAGGTGTTTGCAAACCAGTGGTATTAAGTTTTACCTTAAGAAACATTGCTGAAATATTCTGAAAAAAATATGCTGTAATGTAAGAGACTTAAATCTCTGAATCCCTAAACAAACTTATTATTCCCTAAATAACATATAACACCTCTCCTGCGCGAGCTGCACTGGCTTCCTGTGGTCTTCCGGGTGCGCTTCAAGGTGTTGGTGACCACCTTTAAAGCGCTCCATGGCTTAGGGCCGGGGTATTTGCGAGACCGCCTTCTGCCGCCGATAGCCTCCCACCGACCGGTTCGCTCACACAGAGAGGGCCTCCTCAGGGTGCCGTCGGCCAGGCAGTGCCGGCTGGCGACCCCCAGGGGGAGAGCCTTCTCTGTGGCAGCACCTGCCCTCTGGAATGACCTGCCTCCTGAGATACGCACGATATCAGACCTCCGGACTTTTCGTTGGGCCCTGAAGACACATTTGTTCCATCTAGCTGGGCTGGCTTGATCCCATCCTCTTAGTTTTTTAATCGAAATTTGGTTTTAATTGGGTTATTTTAAATTCGGGCCAAAATTATTTAATTGTTTTTTAAAATGTTTTTAAATTTTATATACTATGTTTTATCCTGGCTGTACACCGCCCTGAGTCCCGCGGGAGAAGGGCGGTATAGAAATATAATAAAATAAATAAATAAATAAATAAATAAACAGATTACCCTATTTTAAAATTTCAGAAAAGATTTTTCCTGTACCAATATATTCAATATCGTCAGTTTCAAATCTCACCTGATTATTTTAAAATGTACATAAAATTATCTAATACTGTATAACAGCACAGCAAAAAAAATTTCTACTGTTGTGGACTCTATAACAGAAGACAGAAATACTTTATAAACTGGAAATATACATACATAATTTTTCACATGGAAAGGAACACTTGTACACTTTAATTAAGTGAAGAAAAAAATTGTATGAGGCTCAAAGAAAAATGAACTTAAGTTTATTGCATGTGCTTTTTAAAACTAAATTATCAATAATGAGCAAAAGCAATCATTCAAATTTGCATAATGTGTAATCAACTTACAACAGATGTTCAAGTGCCAAATACAGAAGCAGCTTTTGGAATGCTTAACCAAAAGCTAGAAAAGCAAGTATGGTCCATGAGTCAGTATTATCTCCCTCCTCTTGCTTTATAACACAGTAACTGCAGATAATTTCAACTCATGGTAACAGAATATATGCTGGGCCAGTATTTTGCAACTAGAAGTTGGCTTTTATTTTGGAAATTATCCTAATTAATTGAGTCGAAGGAAACACATGAATTCATCTCAACATAAGTTGTATTCTATAAGTAAAGAAGAACATAGTGCAATTTCAAATATTAAAAACATCAGTAAAAATATATGAGTAGCTAGTCAAAACTGTGTTTCAGAAATAACATAGGCCATGAAATAACATTTTACAAAACAGCATTTCAGAAATAACATTTTACAACATGAAAAAAATAATTGTGCTTTAGTTGGTAAATATATTTATATTTATATATGTGTGCCCTTTACACTAAAAATCCCTTGTTCCACAAAATAGCAACTGCAAAGTATAAATTAGGCAAGGAAAAACATCTGATACAATGTTATATCTTCTAGTGAATTATAAATTACTTGAGATATCTGTATTAGGAATGCCATTATAGCAAGTACTGTATGCAGTGTCTCAGAAAGGCTGTATTTACAGATAACAGAATCAATTTAGTCACTGTTGGACTAAATAAAGAAATGCTCTTTTACCCTCAAGAACATTTCTATTTCAATAGTTTAATTGTTTTCTGTGATTTCTTTGAATTAGGTACCATGTACATAGTTTGGGCAGTCTATCAATATTATTTATAATTAAATGTTAATGTAAATACATTTGTAAATTAGAAAATAATTTATTATTTTCAAAGTGTATATATAATTAAAAATAACATTGTTTTCAGATTCTCACCTGTCTACATATCATAAAGATGTATAAAAAAATTAAAGAAACATTTTGCCAAATGCTTTGCTTAAAAAGTGGATCAACACAAAAGCAGAGATCTGAAGAACCTATCTACAACTTAATAAAGCAAGTATATCCAGCAACAAAAATATGACTTAAGAAACGTGAATTATATGGTTAATCCTAGAAAAACAAGAATATTTGTGAGTCCAACCTACATGTTCAGAAAGTACAGGTAGTCCTCAACTTACAACCACTACTGAACCCAACATTTCTGTTGCTAGGTGAGACAGTTGTTTAGTGAGTTTTGCCCCATTTTACAATCTTTCTTTCCACAGATTGTTAAGTGACTCACTGCAGTTGTTAAATTGAAAACACGGTTAAATGAATCCGGTTTCCCGTTGACTTTGCTTGTCAAAAGGTCGCAAAAGGTGATCACATGACTCTCGTCATTAATATGAGTCAGTTGCCAAGCATCTGAATTTTGATCCCGTGACCATGAGGCTACTGCAACAGTCGTGTGAAAAAAGGTCATAAGTCACTATTTTCAGTGCTGTTGTGACTTCGAACAGCCACTAAATGAACTGTTGTAACTTGAGGACTACCTGTGAAGACATTTAGGACCCTTTCTGGATACTTCCAAAAATGCCTCATGGGAAATAAAATTCTGCTCCTAAACATTTCACTAATTCGATCTCCTACCAGAACCGCCTGCCCACCATTTTGCTCACTGTTACTTAATGACATTCCAAATGAGCTTCTTTGGGAAATGAAAACCTCAGAAGACAGCATTACACAAACAGTAATCTACCAATTCTTGTCTCAATTCAATAAGAAATTTTCTGATATATCACGTTTATAGTTATTGTATTTTTAAATGAAATAAAAGTGCTATTTATTCACAATACGTATTATGTACCATATGTATTTTTCATGTTAAAATTCATAAAAAACCATGAAATGTATTTTTCCCTGAATGTTGATAAATTGCATGTTGAAAGTAAACTGTGAACTTTGGAAGAAACTCCCTCAAATGGTGCCACTGTAATCACTTATCAGTAAAACACCTGATTTAGAAATTTAGAAAATTAATTTAAACAAACACATGATTTTTGCATTTCAATGAACATTTGAAAGACCTGGGTATATTCTGACATGAGCTCACACCTTCAGTATATTTTACTTACAATTCTTGATATTATTCTATTTTATTTATAATATTTTATAATTCTACTTATAGAACTATAACAAAGGATAGAATCAAATGACACACAGAGTTAAGGGAACTTAATATTCATACTCCCCTAAATATATAATATATATAATATAGGTGCAGTACAGTTTTCCAACTGAGATGAAAATTAATTAAAAAATGAACCCTATTGTAACAGTGCAAAGGAATCATGTCTCAGTCTTACAAAAACAGATAGGTGAATCCAACAATACTTAATGACTTATAAACAGGATAATTGTAGGGATACGAATTATCTGACAAGGAAACAAAATGCAAACTTAAAATCTTCCTATCAACATTTAAACAATTTTCCAAGCAGTAGAAATATTGGAAGTCTTTTTATGTCCATGGAATCTTACCTTTCATTTCAGCAGAAACTGGGATAAGCCTAATTCCACTTCCAAAACAGAGACAGCAGGTTTAAAAGTCTTTCTGGAGCTTTAACTTCTTAAGCCACGCCATACATGTGCAAGAATGTCAGGGGAAGGAGAGGCTGTTTGCCATTGCAGAAAGTTATGGATTAGTTTTTTTCATACTGTACTCCTATACTCTATAGTCCTCTGTTAAAAGAATATCTAATAAGAATAAATTTATGGTTTAATTCATAAGTATTTGAACATAGGATAATAGTATAAAAATATTATATTTTGAGCTTTTCACTTAATATGCAAAGAAAGGAATGTCAGAGAGCATGTAAAGATTTGAGACACCAGTTTGAATACAAATGATACATTAAAATATCTAATAAGCTAGTATGACAGAGAAATATAAGTTATTGCACTAAGCTGTATCCCCTGTGAAGCATTCTTGGCTAAACATTGAACAACCTTTGCACTGGATATGGTAAACTATTATTTTGGCTAAAATAGCAAATATAATAGATTTCCTTAAACTCTATAATGCAGAGTAAAATGTTTTTTTCATATTTTATCATCTCCAGAACTATGCATGCTTAAATATGCATAATACTTATTATTTCCTTACGAGATATCACTTGAATTGTCAACTATGTTCACAATATGAATACATTTAATAGCTTCCTGGTCAATATAGTTGATTCTGTTTTTTAAATATATCAAAATGCTGAAACTCTTTTAGTCATCTAATGCTCTAAGATGCAGTTTTCAGCCTTTCAAAGTCTGTGCATAGTGTTAAATGAAACTTCAGAACTCGATTTTGCAATACCATGGTCTGCAATATATCAGCCTCATTTAAAACCCCTTAATACATTTCGCTAAACAACAACATATAAAACAGGGTACTGTGTCATATCATTTATAAGCCAACATTTAATGACTTTTGTTGGAAAAATATAAGCCATAGCTTTAGCTACAGTATATTAAATAATAACTCCTTTAGCTAGTACTCCTGTCCTTCAACTCATTGTTATTTCTAGATGGTCCTAGATAACTTGTTCGTATCATAGTATTTCAATTGACTTAAGGACAGGAATTTGGCTTGGCCATTTAAAAATGTGAAACTTAACTCTACTTTAGCCATTCTACCATAGATTTGTGTGGTCTGACAATCTCTTGTAGAATCTGTTGTACAATCCAAACTCCATATTCCTTTTTATTATAAGGTGGCTTCTGAGGTTGAAAAACACCCTGATATTTACACCACCATGCTTTTCAGTAAACATAATGTTCTGTTGTTGGAACACAGTCTTGTCCCCAAATACAGCATCTCTCATTCAAGGCAATTTTTTTCATTTTATTCTCATCTGCTCAAGGAATACATTCCAATAGCTTGCTGAATCATGCAGATAGATTTTGATAAATGTGAGGTGCATGACAATGTGCTTCCTGTCTAGCAATGTTTTCATCAACATCCTCCCATACACTTCACTCTCATTCAGTCATTACCTTGTGTTGAACTTCTGACCAATGACAAGTGGCCAGTAAATATTTGCCATTACCAAGTGATATTTGATGGGTAGCCACTCTTGGGAACTAAAACAGTAATTGGACATACCCTCCAATTACACACTATCAGGTTGATGATGGATTGGTGGGAGGCCAAAGCCTTTGATGATGGTTCTGTTAGTACTTTATGAAAAACCCCTTCTCTTGAGATGAGCAGAGATCCCCTTCGATCATAACATGATTTAGTTTCACAATACTGTATCGCGAACAGCATCAGACCACCGATGTGGGTAGTTTTTCTGGGGATGGGCCCTCAATATCAGCCCTGACTCATTAGTCCCTTGGAAGTATCTTAAAATTTCATAAATTTTCCAAAAAAAGAAATGAATACTGACTCAATTCATTTAATTAAGGCTTGTGTAGTATATTTTTCAGGAGTTTGATCAGAATCTCTTTACCTTTTAACGGGAATCAGATGAAGCTCAGATCACGCTGAATATCACAGTACTTCAGGAATACAGATCACTCTAAATTTCTCTCACCAACTGTAACTTAAACAGACATCCTCCTGCTTCATCAGATGCTGACATCTCACAACTTTTTATTCAGATCATAAACAGCCATAACTTCATAATATTGTAAAATTTAAAACAAAAATGACTGAATAAACTGAAATAAGACTTTATGTAACTTGAGATCTATTTCAGTACCTCAAAAAAACTGTAGGCCATATTCTTTATATTCAGCATAGTATAAATACAACAGCACAGCCCCTATGAGTTTACAGAAACAGTATCTCCAATGTAACTTATGAAAATTTCTAGGTTTTTCAGAAAGCTACCTTATGCAGAATCAGAGAACTGGCCACCTAACTTAATTATACCATCTGCTTTGTAACAGCTCTCCTGAATTTCCACAGGGACTCATTCCTGCTTCTAGATAGTGATGCTGAAAGTTAACCTTGTTATCTTTTACATGGAAAACATAAATCCAATTTGGTGTAGTGGCTAAGATGCTGGCCTAGAAACCAGAAGACTGTGAGTTTTAGTCCTGCCTTAGGCATGAAAGCTGGCTAGGTGATTTTTGACTCTCTCTCAGCCCGACCCGTCTCACAGGGTTGTTGTTATGGGGAAGAGAGGAGATGGAAAGAATATTATGTTTCCCACCTTGAGTTACTTATACTGTAAAAAAGATGGGATAAAAATCTAATAAAGAAACAAGTAAATTAGCCCTTAAGCTTTGCTTTTCTGAATCACCAATTTAGCTGAAACTACTTTTTCACCTACCTAAATTTCAAAATTTAGGAAATTGCTCAACAAGTTTTTAAAACTTACAGTTTACATGTTTCTGCATAATAAAGGTTAAAAAAACTAGTTTAAAATACATTCTATAAGATTTATCACAGTGCTGACTATCTCTAGAAACTCATCAGGATCTGCTGGAGAGCTAAATGGAACAATGCAGATCAATATATGCAACTAGTCCTCACTTACCAACCACTTGATGAGCAAAAAAAAGACTTATGGCTAGTACTCAAGTTGCAGCCATCACAGGGTCCTTGTAGTCACACAATTATGATTCATGTGTTTGGCAACTGGCACACATTTATAAGGATTTGCAGTGTCCCAAAGTCACCTGATCACCATTTGTCACCTTCACAGCTGGGTTCTAAGCAGAAGTCACAATTTTCAGCCACATGATACTGTACTCAGCAACCCACAGCAATTCACTTAACAAATGCAGTCAGAACTGATAGTCATGGTCATGTAACTTCTCATTTTACAACTGCATGCTTAGTGACAAGAGTTGCTGGTCTCAATTGTAATTGGTAAGTGAGGGCTATCTGCAATAGTACTTAGACTTATATACCGCTTCGTAGTGCTTTGCAGCACTCTGAGTGGTTTACAAATGTCAACGTATTGTCCCCAATAATCTGGGTCCTCATTTTACCGACCTCAGGATGGAAGACTGAGTCAACCTTGAGCCGATCAGAACTGAGCTCCAGGCTGTGGGCAGAGCTGAGCCTGCAGTACCGCATTCTAACCACTGCACCTCCACAAAGCAATCCCTGCTGCTTCCATATTTTTGTACTTTATCTTTAACTACTTTGTAGTTTATAGGATAATGTACAGTAAATAAAACAAATTCTAGTTACATTTTGTAACAGATGTATATAGGAAGTTTATTCAAAGATCACGTTTTAAGTGATCACAGAATATCCTCAGTCTTACAACTCACAACGGAATAGTTAGGAAATATTTTTTTTTAAAAAAATTGATTTATATGCCGCCCTTCTCCGGAGACTCAGGGCGGCTTACAGTGCATTAAGCAATAGCCTTCATACTTTTGTATATTTTATACAAAGTCAGCTTATTGCCCCCACAAACTGCGTCCTCAATTTACCTACCTTAGAAAGGATAGAAGGCTGAGTCAACCTTGAGCATGGCAAGATTTGAAATTACTTTAATTGCAAACAGCTGGTGTTAAATTACAGTGCTTAGTCTGCAGAGCTATTCAGGCTCTATTTAACGTGAAAATCTTTTTTGTTGCAGTATCAAAAATAATTGTCAAATATAGTGAAATATAACGGCGAAGATATTCTAGACAAAATTATTATACAGTAAGTAAAATTACATATATACTTCCCAAAACCTAAATTTAAATATTCAAAAATAAGTTTCCATTACCCATTTTAACCACAGTTCCTTGTTACAAGTTTAACTATAGCTAGTTTAAAAGATATTCATCTCTTCCTGTGCACAAATAGAAATGGAAAACAATTTTTGGTTTTAACATCTTGAGACCACCATTGTTTTATAAACTGTTCACCCTCTCTGAAAAAAACGCAGGTAAGTTAAAACATCTTCACCCAAGATGAAAACAAGATTCTAGAATTTGTTTTGATGGCAAAAAGTGTATTCAAACCAATTCAAATCTTTAGTCAGTTTACTTAGCAGTTAAAGATTTCCTATGTATTTCCTTTTCTCAAACCACCTCACTTCCTATGAATTTCTTCACATGAGAAATAATTTGATGTTAAAGATATATAATTTATTTTATCCAGTTCATAGTTTTTCCTTTTTTCCGTTTTTCTTTTTCCTATGACTAGTATGAAAATTACTACACAAAATGTCATTCTATGGTTTTTTTTCTTCTTGTAGAATTGGGATTCATAAAATCGTTGTTCCCTAGGAATTTTTACTGTACGTTGTCCATCCTGAAGAGGAGCAGAATAATAATATTTCAGCAAAAGTATTTTAAATTCCTGTTCAAACACATGAGAAAATAGTAGAAATTCTGACACTGGGGATAATGGTAATAATGCCATCATGATCAGGTTTATTTTATTAGCCAACATTGAAAAAAGTTCATTTTCAAACCAACGTAAAGCTTATATTCAAGAGTTTGATTAAGAATAATCTATTTCTTTTAGTCTTGCCTTAGTCATGAAAGCCGGCTGGGTGACTTTGGACCAGTCACTCTTTCAGCTCACAATGTCAGACTTGGGTGACAAAACCAGTCAGTCAATTCCTGTTGCAATCAATAGATGAATACTCACTTGATGGAGGGGGGAAGAACAGACCCTGTACTTGGGGGAAAACACTAGGAAGAAAAAACTATATTTATTGATTAGAGATGTCATATCTCTAGAAATCAAGCGCCAAACTACAGGTAGTCCTCAACGTACAACCACAGTTAAGCCCAACATTTGTTGCTAAGCAAGACAGTTGTTAAATGGGTTTGGCCCATTTTACAACTTTTCTTGCCACAGTTGTTAAGTGAATCACTGCAGTTGTTAATAACATAGTAATAAAGTGAATCTGGCTTCTCCACTGACTTTGCTTGTCAGAAGGTCACAAAGTGATCATATGACCCCTAGAACACCGCAACCATCATAAATACGAGTCAGTTGCCAAGTGTTTGAATTTTGATCACATGACTGAGAAGATGCTGCAAAGATCATAAGTATGAAAAACGATGAATCACTTTTTTCAGGGCCATTATAAATTTGAATGTTCACTAAATGATCTGCTGCAAGTCGAGGACTACCTGTAGTCCAATGTAATTTTTATTTATATTTTTTTATATATATATGATTTTATTTTTCATGAATGCTGCATCTGTACCCTAGATATTTGATTTAAAAAATCATTTAAATTTGAGCAACCTCTTTCTGACAAAAAAAATCTTCAAGTTGTTTTTATGAATATGACAGCACCTGTTGTGACTCCGACCCCCGAGCCCGTCTTATCGGAGGGAGAAGACTCCGAAAGTGAAGGAAAGGAGTTGGCAAGGCCTCCCTCTCCAGGACCTCCTCTCTGGCAATGCCTCAGGTGTCTCCCGAAGGAGAAGAGATAGGCCAGGAGCCAGGCATTTCCGAACAGCCGCAGTTAGACAGCTATGGAGATAAATCTTGGCTGGATGCCCGTCGGCGTTGGAAAGACAAGCACACGCAGCAGAGAAGGCGGCGTGCCAGAGATTAAGCTGAGTCACTGGACCACACCCCACAGGGGATAAAAGGGGGTGTGGTGGCCATTCAGGCTTTGTGACGGACAAAACTGATCAGCTAGCAAGTCATACTGTGTCTCTGGAACTTCGTTATCTGCCTTCCTTGAATTTATTATGGACTGGACTTGACAATTCTTTGGCTTTGTGAATTTATTTTGGTTTATCTGACGGAGGAGGAACACCTCCCTCTGTGAGTAAAGTTTTTGGCAAGCAGCTACTGGGTTGCTGCCAATTCTGTAATCGAAGGAAATTGTTGTCTGCAAGTTTATTTTAACTCCTGGTGACTGTTTGTGTGCGTGTGTGAGACGGGGACAGAACAGCCCCAATATTTTAAACTTCAGATAGTAGAAAAATACTCTTCACAGCTTTTTTAAAATATCGATTCATACATTACTCTATGAAACTGTTGCAATTACATTGATAAAATGAATTATCCAAGCCAAAAAATAAGACTCAAGTCAAGAGATATTCAAATATTAATATGGTTTTAAATGTTCCAACTTTTTATTGCATTATCCTGCGTCCATCTATGTTTGGGATATTTTTGGACATGCTTTCCCTAAAGCATTTATTAATAAGCTCAAGTTTTTGTTTTTATCTTACGTTTTATGAATTTTTCTAATAGGTGGTTATGGATGTTTTGAACCAACATATGCATTTTCATACCATATAGATATGCATATGCTCATTTTTCTCTATTATATATATTTAATCTGTACTGTTGCCAGAATCACACTGAAAAATATGAACACTGAAGATTGTGTTTTCATTTTCTTATTCGTCTATGTATATAAACCATTTTGTTTTTTGTTTTATTTTGATCCCAACTATGTAAACCAGTAATTAAATCAATCATTATACAAGTATCAGAAATCATATTATGAATGCCTAGTCAAATCCTGATATTTAAACAATTTAATTGCTGATTGGATTTATGAGAATTTTAATCTAACATATGAGGACAATGCCAAGCTCAGAAAGATCAGTTAATTATATAAGAACAGAACTAGATGAATACTGGTTTTATAAACTGTTGTAAAACCGTTCTCTGCGTCTCATTGGCTATCTTCCAAGCCACTCTCCTCATCCCATCTCCGTCAAATCACAGGAATGTCCCCCCTCCTCCCATCTCCAAGGAAACAGAATCTTCAAAGGAATTAAGTAGGCAAAAGTTCAAGCTTCTCCTCTCCTTTCATGTCAGCGCTGTAACGCTGACATGTAAATTTACTCCATGATAAATACATCTAAAAAATAAGTTTAACAAATACTGACAATTTGCTTGACTGAGAAGTAAAGTAAATGAAAAGTAAATCATGTTTCATTCAATAGAACCCATTTCAAAAGCAAACGTGATTGTGTGATATAGCATAATGATGGCAGCAGAAAGAAGGAACTTTCACTGAAGCTAAAGCACAACAGTCAAAGATCATGATGTGAATGTGTCCATTCCATTAGAGTATAGCCTAAATTTATTCCTGGAATTTAAAAATGTATATTACTTTGCATTATCCATTTCTTCTAAATAATGGTCAAAGAAATAAAAGTACAACAGAATTGGAAGGGACCTTGGAGGTCTTCTAATCCCCCTGCTCAAGCAAGAAACTCTATAGCATTTCAGACAAATGTTTGTCCACTCTCTTCTTAAAAACCTCCAGTGTTGGGAGCACCCACAACTTCCACTAATTAATTGGAATTGTCAAAAAAAATCTCCTTAGTTCTAGGTTGCTTCTCTCCTTGATTAGTTTCCATCCATTACCTCTTGTCCTGCTTTTAGGTGCTTTGGTTGATCCCCTCTTCCTTGTAGCAACCCCATAGATATTGAAATACTGCTAGCATGTCACCCCTAGTGCTTCTTTTCTTTAGACTGGACTTACCCAACCACATTTTGGCCTCCAGTCCCCTAATCATCTTTGTTGTTTTTCTCTGAACTCTTTCTAAATGAGTCTCGACATCTTTTTTATATACTCGCGACCAAAACTGGATGCAATATTCCAAGTGTGGTTTTACCAAAGCATTATAAAGTGATACTAAGACTTCACGAGAAAATAAACCTGGAATTGGCTAAAAAAAAGTCAATTACTTGTTTCATTTTTTTTTGTTTAACAAACCATTCCCCAAAGAAATCTTGGTTTATTGTTATATGAAAACATACCGATAATCCAGTTAAAATCTAAAATGAATATGCATAACTGAGACTTAAACAGAAGTTACTTTCTGTTGACAGTGTTTATTTTAAAAATGTTTTTGCTAATCAATTCCAAATATCAATATTAAAATTAGTACCCAAGGTAACAGACAGGGTAACAGATGTTTTAGAAATCTGGAATTTTAAAAAGTTGAGAAAGAAAATGGTCTATAGTTAATTAACACATTCAGAAGAGTTAATAGTATATCAATGTATTTAAACAAACTTTTCATTTAAAAAAGTATTTGCACATCACAAAATTAATGTGCAAATCTAGTTATAATTTAAATACATTTCATTTTAAAGATAATAGATGCATGGAAACAATTGTAAAAAGTGGTGGTTCTCAAAAGTATTAATACTACAAACCCTTAAAGCAACTAAATCTTTTCCTAGGATTAGATAAATTCCATGCATTCTTGGAAAATACGTTTCCTTTAAAGGTGCTGTGTGCAGAATTCAATAAAACTAGCAGAAATCATCCATTAAATTAAACAGCAGTTTCATTTATATTTTCAATAATCTAAGCTCTTGTACATAACCCATTCTGTCATTAGGATTTTTACTAGCTTAAGTTCCAGTTCCGCAGTAATATCATATTACCCCTATTCATGGTGCAAATGTTAAAATGTTCAAGGAAGATTAAAAAAAAACAATCCTTGCAAACATGCAAGTGGAGAAGCCGTCAGGAAGTTGTAAATGGTAACCAAGTAGTGTCATGTTTAACGCTTAACAAGAACAACTGGAGCGCTGGAGCTATCATATGAAGCAGCTTGGTCAAGTGACATCACATCATTAACCAAGGACTACCTTCATGTTTCAACCCTCCGATTCGGTCAAAATGTAATAAACTTATTATTTATTTTGATTCTGTGACTTAAATATAGTTGAGTGCATGATCTCTTTATTATTTAAGAGTGACATAAGGGAAGTACTGAAAATTAGAGCCATATACATATATTTTAAAAGATATATTGATACTATAATTCTTAAAATGTAAATCTGGGAAGTTTAAATCTTTTAAATAAATAGCACCAGTATAAATTCTAAGAATTGATAATCCAGCTGTAGTTTCTGCAGAGTCGATAGAACAAGAAAAACTGAAGTATTCAGTATCAATATAAAGATACTCATTCACCTTTTCATAATAAAAATATGACCGTGTGGGTCTCCTTTACAAAATCAAATACTGCAATTACATATTTGCATTAATATCCGATGCAAATACATAAGCTGTAGTATTTGTGTAATGACATCATAACACCTATAATCATTTGCTCCACACCCATCTTTATATCCTAGGCAAATCTTTTAGCTTCATATAAATATGGGATCAGAGAAAGCTCCCATCTTGTTTCTTTACAATAATCTTATCAAATTTGCACTGGCAATAAATATGTTTAACCATATACTTTAGTCCACTCATATAACATGAAATAGGAGTAGCACTTAAGACTTATATACCACTTCATAGTGCTTTACAGCACTCTCTAGGTCAGGGGTGTCTCGATATAACTCAATTTCATTGAGGGCCACATCAGGGTTATGTTTGACCTTGGGGGGGCCAGAGTGGGCATGGCCAAGGTGGACATGGCCAGCTGTCACTTGTGTCGAGGGTGCCGGCAGTAGCCTGAGCGTTCTGCCAGAGAAAACAGGCTCCCAAGCTCCGTTTTCAGCTGTGATGGCCTCCTGCAACCCTCTGCCAGAGAAAATGGAGCTCAGGCGGCCCTCCTGAGCTGTTTTCATTGGCAGAGGCACCATGGCCCAGTCCTTCACTTGTTTCCAAGGCAGCCCTGCGGGCCAGATCTAAGCACACTAACCCTAACCTTGAGTTTAACACCCTGCTCTAGGTGGTTTATAGAATCAGCATATTGCCCCCAACAATCTGGGTGCTCATTTTACTGACCCCAGAAGGATGGAAGGGTGAGTCAATCTTGAGCCGGTCAGAATCAAACTCCTGGCAGTGAGCAGTGAATTAGTCTGCAATACTGCATTCTAACCAGTGAGTCATCACGGCTCCATGCTATGCTTATGCAGTAACAGCTGTTTCCTGTGTATCTCTAATATACTTGATTTGCCCATACAGTGGTCAAAATAAAACAAAATAAATATCCAATACGAAATGCTTTCATGATACTATAATTATACTAGTATATATTAAAATCTTGGTTTTTTTATACATTTAACATGCATTATATAACAAGTTCTGGGATAGTTTTCTATTTATATTTTTATTTCCAGATAGCATAGGCGATTTAAAAGGGGAACTTTTCATCTAGGAAGAATATAAAAAAATTACATATTTAAATGAAGTGCTAAACTGAAAATATTTTGCCTACCAAAATTATTAAGTGCTAGTAGTTGCTAATGTTTCCAGAATTTGATAAACATAACATTTTCTTTAATATTGAAAGACAGGAAACTAGCAAATACATTTTTTATAAAAGAAAATGTGTTTGGGGGAAAAAGAACACTTTGAATATATTTTATAAATCCGCTTCAGAGGAAGCACAAATGCAAATAGCAGTAATAATCCATTAAATGATGAAATTTGTGTCCTTTGAAATTATTTCCATTCATAATCTAGTTAAGATCATAGGTGAATATTCACTACTTGTAGGTTTTCAAGGCTCAAAATGTTTATTTGAACTTGAACATAGGATTACATTACGATAACAATCCCATTGCAAAGAGATTTATACATGTTGTTGAAAAATAACATTTGATTAAAAAAACACAAATCTATATTGGCTTACCAATAGTTTCATATTTTCTAAAGCTGCATTAACCCCAACTTTTTCTATGTATTGCAAGCTGAATTTTTATTTTCATACAATTACAATGGATAAAAGCAGATCCACCCCACCCCCCCAAAGAAAAGATAGGCATTGTCAAAGAAAAATAATTATGGATACTTACAGTTAAATTTAAAGATAGTATTCATAGCAGTGTTTCAAAATCATTTAAACTGTTATTTTATTGTAAGCGTGTAACTCACAAATTTCACAGCATGGTCACATTATATTTTGTGGCAGTCACAAACAATTGATGTACAAAATGAAGTGCGTTAATTCTACACTATCCTAAGCCTATGACTAAATACAAAAAGAAAATGTCTATATAGTTTACAAAAAAGGTTAATGTCTATATTAACAGTAAAACCATTCAAAAGTAACAGTTGAAATTATATAGAGTTATAACACCAGATAGTCATTCATTCAATTTCACAAGAGTACAAAAATGAATGTTTCAATATCTGCGACGCTTGTTAGGTCCTTCAAAGCTGCCCCCAGGATTTCCTCTACCAAAGCCACTGGGTCCACTATTGACGGCACCTACACCACCCAGAGCTGGCTGAGGAGTTTCAGAGCCTGGTCTATTAACCATAGGTGAACCCATTTGTGGTGGGCCTCCTTGAGGAAATCTCTCAGAATGCTACATTAAGTCCATTTAGAACAAACCCCCAATTTGAATTACAATAAATAGGGGAAATATGGCGTTTTCAGGAAGTTCAGCAGATAGTCCAGCAGAATCAGGATGACACATAGAAGGAAGAAAGGAGCAATTAATTTAGTCATTACCTTTAAAAGTTGAATGAAAACTAAAAAGTCAAACAATATTGTGACAACCAGCTCATTGAGTTAAAGGAATAGGTAGGCAAAGTGTAACCATTCTAAGAGGTCTACCCTAATTCTAATGAATTGGTATTTTATATTCTGAATCTTCTGTACAAAGTATGCATAAATATTAAGTATGTTAAGTATATATAAAGTATATCAGAAATATGTATAAAGAAATGAAATTAAAAGTACATTTTAGAAGGTACCTAAACTTAACTTTTTAAGAGGCTAGGTTCAAAATTGTTACAGATGTACTATAGATAGATATAGATAAGATGATAGACAGATGATAGATGATAGACAGACAGATATAGATAGATTTCATGTAATTCACATGAACATTTAGAGCCAAATTTATATTTAATGTCTTTAAAATATAAGGTGTAACCTAATAGATTGAGGGTGTCCTAATTCAAAATTGTAGAGAAATGAGAATATTTCATAATCTTGAAAAACTGCTAATTCATTACAATGCTAAGCATTGTTTAAAGTTATATAAATTAATATGAATGTTAAATGCCTCACTAAGAGAAAAATTTAATTAAGATCCCTGAAATAACTTAATAGCCTATCTGGCCAACTCCAACTTTATGATCCAATTAGGATTAAAAATATGAATGGATATGAATATTGAATATTTGGTTTACACAAGGAGTTATATTTTCTGAAATTTGTATTTCTCCTGCATTGCAGTTTCTAAAAGTCCAAAGCAAGCAGCAGCAGATTTTTCAGAGAACAGAAAACTGATTCTTGAAATGAATGTAACGCCAAAACTAAATCACTGATATGAATATTGCTATATTAATTCTAAAAATTATAAAAACCAGCAGTAATTATCTCATTTTCTGGGTCAATTGCTATGTTAAATAACTGGTAAAAGATTGTATCCTTTTCCTTGAGCCCATTACACTCCCTGCAAATCTGCTCTAATCAATTGCAGTATTACCCGAGTAGATGAGAAGATACTGAGCGAGAAAGCATGTAAGAAAAGTTCTCTGATGTGAGGTTGATGTAAGGATGGATGTTATTATTCCATTTATTACAAAAATAACAGATACATGTTTAAGGAGAATTAAGCATTAATTTAAGGCGAATTAAACATTTAATTAAATTTAAATGTTTAGCTATGTCTACTTTTTCCTTCAGTAATATAAAAACTCTATAGATAAATATTGAATTATATATGTAATAATATCAGAAATAATCCAAATATACTAGGCTGAAGTGATTTTGAAAAACAAATTGAGCTCTTCCGAAAATCCGAAAATAAAATGGTTTCCAGTTCTTTTACTGACAAAGATTAGTATGCCTTCTTAACCATTATTTTCTCTTTATTAGTTACATCATAATACTGTTCATTATTTTTCTCCCTTAAAAAGTAGAGAAATAGACTCATCATATGGTTCAGTAATATGGACAGGACATGCTGAACCTAGAAACTAGGTATAGCAGATCACTTTATGAAAAGCGATTTTCTCAGCAAAGGAGATACAATAATTAAGTTGATTATTCTTTTAAAAAACAGCATGATGTTCTTACGGAAAATAATACATATATACATACTCCCATATTACATATGCAATACATACATAAGAAAACTGCAGTTATAACTAGATTTTTGATTCTTGTTTTACTACAACAGATTTAGTGTCGAAAACACTGAATACATTTTACTTCACCAATTCCACTTCTTTGGAACTCCAAACATAGCAAGAAATGCTATAATAATAGAACCAAGAAGTTAAATATATTAAATGCTGTATAAATATTAGCTAATATCCTTGCCTTGTGCTTAACAACTGAATCAGATCTAGCTTTCAGAAGGAACTCTTTATTAAAAACAGGTCTTACAAAAAGCTTTGTGGTTATAAACTTACTCTGATAAAAATCTGTTAATCAATTAAATTTGCTTTAAAAAAATATTCAAAGATAGCTTCACACCATGAATCATTTCAATACACCAAAAATAAAACATGTTTATCGGTAATCCATGTCTACAACCTGGATGACTGAGAATCTCCATATACATTTAATTTAATTTTTAAATTATTTTTAATAACAATCACCGTATGAAGTTATCCTTGTTAGATAGATTTGCTATGTTGCAGAAAAAAAATAAATGTTTATGATACATTACCACAGTTCCATTATCTGGCATCATTGGGGTTCCAATGTTTGTAGCTCCTTCTGGCCCCAACGAAGGACCTGGACCCATTGCTGGGCCAGGCATTGTCCCTCTGTTGTTCATAGTCATACTCATCATTGGAGGTGGAGGAGGAGGACCTTGGTTTCCAGCAGGTGCTGGGCTAAAGGCATCTATGTAAAACAGTCTACACTTAGAGCTGTCCTAACTGCATTTTAAAGAATTACAAATTATAATAGTAGAAACATTTGAAAAAAATGCTGTTATTGTTTGAGACTGTACATTTACTTTAAGTTTTTGACATTAAGCAATTATTATTGAACAATACCATTCCAAATAAAGTGTAACATTCTCAATTTCAAGTATTTTTCCATAAGCTAATTCCTATTAATTCTTGAAGATAATGGCATTAACTTTCAAAATGGCACCAGTTCTTTTGTGTGCAATGATTTTCTCCCAAAACATCATTTGCTTACCATATTGTACAAGGCTAATTAAATTACAATTTTATGTCTATGACTGTGAATGTAGAAAAGTATTACCAAGTAGAAAATGCAAGAAAATATTTATTTGGAGAAAATCATATATGGAGTTAAAGATTATTTTGTATAGCTTGCAATAATAGAATGCTTGACTAGAATAACATTTTTTAAAGTATACAAGGTAAAGATAAAGTCTCTTTTGAGTCTACATAAACTTGATTATCATAAGGACTATAATCATCATTTTCTTGACAACAATACCGAAGTGATTTGCCATTGTCTTTTCTGGATTTTTTTTTTTCCAATTTCTCTATCTAGTCTGCAGTCTTGTAATTTTCTGGTGGCCTCCCCTCCAAATACTAGGCATTACTAAATGCACTGAATTAGAGGCTTCTTTATAAAATGTTACTACATGCATATTGACAAACAAAAAATATCTAGGAACTTTGTGATAAAGTTATATAGGTACTGACTTTAGTGAAAAATAATTCTCATGAAATAAATCAGGGACAGCACAGATATAGAAGCAGTGGGTTTTTAATTGTCTTAGTTTTAATTCTAGGTAGGCAATGATGGTGGCAAGTTTTGTAATGCCCAACGTCTACAATAAGAGAGCTTTCTCTCAATGCCACCTTCCTGTGCTTCTTTGCTTAATACAGATATTTTCACAGCAGCATTAGAGCTAATCTGCATAGCTCCCTTTTTATTTTACTCATAATTTACTGGTAAATACTGCTAAATATAATTAACATTTTAAAGAATTTTTTTTCAACAGGGGCTGAGTAGTTGTTACACTTTCCTTTATTCTTGTTACAGTAGAGCTCAATGAAAGCACACAGGATTGGGCAAAAGGGGGCAGGATTAACCAATTAAAGAGACAAAGTTCCTCTGAAAGTATTTTCTGAATTTTAGACTAATTTAAAACAGATGGAACTGAAAACTGGAACTTGCTTTTAGATAATACATTTGCCACAGAGGTTTATACCCAACGCAACAGATCCCCAGAAAATGAAAACCCAGATATGAAGACATTTCCCCCTCCTTTTCCCCATATCAGTTATCTATAAAGGCATCCAAACCAGTTTTAGCTCAAAATCTGAAATAAAAATGAAAAAGATCTGGATAATAAACTTAATCCAAATGTTATTAGAGATGCCTGGATATCACACTTCTTAAGGAAGCTACCCAAATAAAACAAAGACTAATCTTAGTCAGGTACTCATAAATATTATTATACCAGATGGCCCAAAATGCCACAATGAGAAATACCAAAATAATCAATATTAGACATACAAAATAGCTGTTGTTAAAGAAATGTGGAGAATTCTAGTACGAGTGTTCTACTCACTCACTTTAAACAATTGAGATCAATACCTCAACTTTGGCATACTGTAAAATATTCACTAGTGTGGTAAAGTAGTCACTTTACATGATACTTGGCTACTATTACACAAATATGCATGGTTATAATGCAATAAAATAAAGTTCTGAAAGACAAAGAGGTGATTAATTAAACACTTAATTATAGTTTGGTCCCATTATTCCCATAAGGACAATCCTCCAATTAAAAACAACATATTCAAGACCCTGCTATAAATTCTCAAGAAGTAAACTAAATCTAATTTTTACTTGTAGTGTGATGTATTTTAATTTTACATTTATTAAGATACAACTTTAGAAAGATTTACAACAAACAGGAATTCATGCTTCTCAGTTGATACTGATAGCTTTTCCTATTACCTTCAATTTTGTAAAATCAAAAATTATGTTTGAAAGAAAAAAAATGAGTCCAGTATATAACAAATTAAAATTTTGGCCAAGATTATCTGCCAAGGTCCACAGAAGTAACATGTACAGTCTCAAAGAAATTTTCAAGAACAAGAGCCTTTTGCTTCAGATCCCTACCTCCCATGTTTAATGCTCCACGAGGACCCATATCACCCATTCTCATTTCCTGTTCTCTCTGAAAGTAAACATAATTTTCATCGTCAACCTATCACTTATTATTTTAACATTCTCATTTCTTGGCCAATCATTTTATGAAATAACACTTATAATTTCATGAAATCAAAAAATACCATTACGTCCATTAATAGAAATTTGTACTTTATTCTTTTTCAAAATTGTGGCCTTTAATATAAAGACACAAAACAATACCAAGATAACCACCCAGAGATCAGCCTCAAGTATACTAACTGGCCCAAAGGAAGAATCAAAATAGACGGTAGTATTTACAGATGGTTGTATTTGTGCCATATTAAATATTTTCTGAGATTTAATTATGGAAAAATAATACAAAATATTCTGTAGCATTATAATACCGGTATTAATCACACTGGTCTTAGAATTAAAAAATTTAAATTATTCTTTCTGCAATATAAAATACATATATTAATTTTCAATTATGCTTTAACAGCAAATGCCTAGCAATACATAGTCATCAAACTGTAGCCTGTACTATATGACAGCATAGACAGACAGTAAATATTCAGCAAAAATGGAAGGTCAGGCTTTTTTCTTTTTAAATAATAGACAGGTGGAGTAATTGTAGGCAAATGAATTACTGGATTTCTTTTTAAGATTACCACATGGGCATGAAATAAGTATTTCCAATTGGGCTCAGTTAGATTCTGTAAATAGATAAAAATGCAACTATTAAGGTATCCCTTAAAATCAAAAATAAACATTAGCAAGTATTTATCTAACTCTAACTGTTAAAAACTTAGTAAGCTGCATAGTAACCAGAATTCATAATTTTAATTTTTATTAAAGAAAAGAGAACAACATTGCCATCCTATGTTAAGTAAAAAAGCTGACAGAATATGTATTATTGGTGATGGAACACATGTGAAGTTTCAGATAATTTCACTGATTGATAACCTAAAGAAATTAGAACAGAATTAATTAAAAACTACAATCTGTAAAGCTCCATGTATTTACTTATTTGGTATTATTTTCTTCTCAGAATACAGCTAAAACCATCTATATAATATATACGTTAAAGTATACAGTAAAAAAGTAAGAGACAAGATATTCTACAATTCTGAAATGTTCTAATGTAAAATAAATATATCTATAATTTACATACTACCAAAATATTAAAATTACCATAGAATTAGGATAGGCAATAATACCATTATTTACAATTAAATTTAAAAGTATTCATGAGATCCATGGTAAATGTTGCACTAAAACACACTGCATAAACTCCACTATAAGAACAAGAAATATTAAATATCAAGAGATAAATTATTTCTTTTTTAAAAAATATTTTTTTGCTTTAAATAGTGCATGTTTGTCATATACATCAAATACTACAACATGAATAGAATATGTATTTCAGTTGTGCATCCACTAAAATAATAAATGAAGGACTAATTCACATAGCTAAAAGTCCTACAGGATCTTGCTGGACTCTGCTCATAAAAATATCATATTCAGAAATGAGCAAAAACAAGTATACAATTGTCATGCTGTCAAATATACCAATATTATAAGATCTTGTAAGCCCTTTCAATTAATACTTAGCAAAATATATATTAAGAATAATACTTAAAAGTAAAATTTTCTGCTTTAAAGGAAATCCATAGTAACTTCTCAGGCCAATAGAGCTACATATGAGCATTAGAGTACAAATATGAACTAGAAATATATGAGTAAAGAAATTAAGTGAACGACAGAAAAGGTGCTTTGAATTTTATTTTATCTATGTTTTTGTATTTTATCAAACACAATAAAGAATATTTTAAAATAGAACCTGCATTACAAAATTACCCAGCCAAATGTAGAAATACTAGTCACCAACAAAGCCCAAGCAAATGCTTAAACTTATATAAATATTCTAATATTTAAACTCATGTAAATATTTTAATATAGAAATCTATCTAAATATCGTTTCCCAAGGTTACAGACATATTTTTACTAGAAGGTGGTGGTAGTGATATGCAGCATATAAAATTGATTAAAATCCATGTTTTCAACTGAACAATTAGTATTCCATCCAGACATTATATAAAATCATGCAATGGCAAGAATTTCAAGCTGACGTGAAGTTTTGCACTCTTCAAAATAATGTTTAAAATTATATCAATAGCAAATAAAAATATCATTTACTAAGCATTTAAATGCTTTAGGCATTGTCTCAGTTATTCTACATCTATCCTGCATTGAAAAGCTTATTATCTTCAAATTACAGTTGAGAAGCCATGGCTAGATGGCAACTATTAAGATTCGTATTTTATTCTATTTATACTGTTAGAAACAGCATTAAGATTCAAAATTTCAAAGACTATTATTTATAGTAAAAAAATTACCAGACTTCACTAAATTGTCTGGTTTATTAATCTCAGATCTTAATACAAGAAGAAAAATTCAAAGGGGGACTGCACACCAAATAAGTGAGGCAGATAAGAATTTGTTATCCAAAGTACACAAATCATATCTTGTTTCATTGCATAATAGATATGTTAAGAGAGTTTGAATTTCTTTTATATAGTCCCAGTGATTTATACCCTTTCTTAAACCAATACTGAAATAATTTTTGCCACTAAAATTTAATTTTAGTATATAGTGGATGTGGTATCTCATTTCAAATTCCTTTTAAAATATTAATAAGTGAAGATTTTGAGATGACAAAAAACTTGCAAAATAATGAAGCACAGTATGCTTTCTCTTATTCTCTCCCAAAATGTGTGAAGTATGCATGCATACTTCTACTTAACTATCAACAAAATGTTTATTTCATAGACAATTTAAGGATTTACTAGCAAACTCCTTATATTACCTTTGCTTACCTGTACAAATTAAATCTTCAGAAGGCAGCAGTATCCATCATACATTCAATCACTGGATTTGCCCTTATTTTGAAAAATACTAAGCAATTAAATAAACCATGTTGCTCTTTTTCTTACATCGCTTTAGCAGAATCTTTAAAATAAATATATCATTTAAGTTCGAGGATGTATGTATAAATTCTAGGTTAATAACATTTCAACAGCATCTTTTAATTTTCTAAACGAAGTACTGAGTTACAGAAAAACAATTAGGAGCTTCCTTTATACACACTGAATTTTTATTTGTTATTTAGATGCCATTTCTGTTTACATTTGTTTATAATATATTCAAAAAATACACACTGATATTATGTAATTCTCATAATTCAGCAATCCATCTTTGCATTTATGACCTTCACAGATCTATAAAACAAAGGAAAGCTGAAGTCAAACTGTAAGCACAGTTACCGCTTCACTTAGCAACCACCTTGCTTGATGACCCAATTGTCATTGCTAAATGAGAGTTATCCATATATGTTTGCATATATCCAGAGAGAGATAATATCCTGAATGCTGAATAATATGAAAACATATAGTGATACAATATTGTGAAATCTAAGAAAACATGAATATCAAAACCCTATATTGTCATCACTAGGACTACAATACAAGCATTTTAAGTAAGGGTTTTAATCTAACTGCAATAATGTGTCCATCACACACGGAAATATACATAATAAATTCACAATATAAAAAGTTCTCAGTCACCTACATCTCAAAATATACAGCATAATTCCCTCAAGACTAATAACACAAAATGTATTACTGTGTATTGCATTTAATGGCAGAATGACTACAATTTTATAACTCAAAAATAAAAAACCTCCATAATTTTCATGAAAAGAAAAATAATGGAAGCATTCAGATAGTTAAATTTTCTTCTCAAATTTATCTGAAACAAAATAAACATTAGTTTTGCTATCAATTTACATGCCAAAATTCTACAATATTAAAAAAATTGAAGGCATCATTAGCTATAACTTCCTAATATTTGTACTTAATCTATATTCACATACATAACAGCTGCCATATGCTAAAATAAAGAATGTTATTGTAAATAGAAACTCAACAGCAACTCTCATTTTTCTGCATATTCAGAAAAAATAACTAAATCAAATAATCAACACATTAAACAGTAATAGGCACATTTTAGCAAATATGCAAACTTAGAGAACTCAAATTGTACATTGCAAATGGATTTACTTTCAAATATGAAGTTTGTTTGGCTAGGAAACAGCAAACAGTATACACAATGTCATTTTCTTGGAATCTTAATAAAAAATTAGCTAAAAGTACTAAACTTCAAGCACTATGAATTTAAATTGTGAACTCAGAAATAAATTCAACATTTCTTTATAATTAAATTATCAATTGTCAGTTGGAAAAAAATCCAAAAGGATAAAGGTTCCCCTCGCACATATGTGCCAGTCATTCCTGACTCTAGGGGGCGGTGCTCATCTCCGTTTCAAAGCCGAAGAGCCAGTGCTGTCCGAAGACGTCTCCATGGTCATGTGGCCGGCATGACTCAACACCAAAGGTACATAGAACGCTGTTACCTTCCCACCAAAGGTGGTTCCTATTTTTCTACTTGCATTTTTTACGTGCTTTCGAACTGCTAGGTTGGCAGAAGCTGGGACAAGTAACGGGAGCTCATCCCGTTACGCAGCACTAGGTATTCGAACTGCTGAACTGCCGACCTTTCAATCGACAAGCTCAGTGTCTTAGCCACTGAGCCACCGCATCCCTAGTATAGTTGTTAGCACAATTATGTGAAAGCCAACCACTAAAGATTTAAAAGTATGTGTTCTCTTCATTGGGAAATGAACTTAAAAACTAATTTCTTGCAGATGAATTTGAAGCAAATTTGTTGTTGTTAGACAAGAATTGTCAACAGAATACCCACTCCACTACATCCTGGGAGAATATTTTGCTATCAGAATAATTTCACTGCTAATTTTTACTAAATCCTGAAATACTTTTCAACATATTATATGCTAATGCTGATGAAATAATTCTTAAGACTTTTTATGTTAGATCATTATATTTATAATCTTCGTTAAACTACTGTATAGAAAATTAAAGACTAATCAAGTGGATGAATTAATAAAGTTGCTAATGAGATTCAGCAGGA